GTAGTGTCAAACTATTTTTGAAGTAACACGCAGACAACTGTATGACAGGTTGCACACCTCAGTCAGGATTGGTCCTCTCTGGCCCATCATTACAACTTAAATTTACAGTGAGACACTGGATGGTGTGTGAACTTTCATCCTGTTTAACATCTTAGGTACTGTAATGATAGTGATTTATTGTAACATGAATATTTAAACATTAATTTGAACTTCTGCTGTCTGGCTGATTTATCTTACCCTGTTCTGTTGTTTGTCAGTCTCCTGTTGGCTGGGGAGTGCCAGCCAGGTGTCCCCTGTAGCTCTGCTGCAGAGCACAGTGACAAGGCAGTGCTGAGGTGTTTCATACCTGGAGCTGTGTTTCTGTCCTCCAGTCAGGGCTCAGCACTCTGGCAAGGACAGTGTCCCAGTCCCGAGTTGCAGGCTGGGCTGTCCCAGCACGACCCACACATGCTTTTGTGGGGGGAAGCTGGGAGCAGGGCCAGTTTAAAGTAACTTCAGTTGCTTGTACTAATTCACTCACTGATCTCTGTACCTTTCTCTGAAATCAACCCAAACAGACACTCACACTACATAGGTTAGTCTCATAAATTATTAGGCTTCTCATGTTTACATTATTATTATTTATAATCTAATTCAAACCTAGATTTGTCTGAAGTAAACCTAACAAATGACAAGAGGAAGTAGAACGAGTTGTGTTCTTGAGCCTATGTTAAACTAAATCTGGGTATCTTACCGTTTTTTCTTTGCCTTTGCTTTGCCATCCAGAATACAATGATTTAAAGACAGAACTGACTGACTATCTCAGGAGGTTTGCAGATGAGGGAACGGTAAGGTGCAACTTCCAGAATCTGTTTGCCAGAAAATGTGTTTTAAAGAACTGCTGAGGGCTGGGTGGTGAATACCATGATGTTCTGTTGTAATGTTTTTTCTTGTCTCTTGGAGTTGCTGGTACTACAATAGAAATCTGAAATCCCTTATTTCATTTGATTTTAACAATTCCTTAATAATATTGTTGAGAGATAATGGGAGCTTTACAGAAATCTGTCTGCAAGGTACTGAGAGCAGTTGTTAGATTAAAATGAAACTTCTGTTGCTCTAGGTAAGATATTCAGGGAGAAAAGCTCTTTCTGGTTTTTCTTAGATTGAATCTAAACCCTTAGAAGAATAAGGACTGACTATGATTGTCAGTCTTGTCAGTTGTTTTCCTGCGGGTGCAGGCATGCCATTTTTCAGTAACACATTTTGTTGGCTGATTTGCTGTATTGCCATTCTTAGTTGCATTGGAATGACCCTGAAGCGAGCTAGTGAAAATGCTGCTTTGTGTTAAATTTTCTGATGATAAAAGCAAGAGGTCAGAGTCATTAAAATATCATTGGAAGCTTTGCTCCACGTCTTTGTTCAGCCTTTGGGGAACTAATTTCCCTCTTTGTGTTATCTACAATAGAATTTGGGCATTAGTCCTCTCCTTCGGGTGCAACAGGAAAGCTGTACCAGAGAAATTTCAGGGTATTTGCTTTCCTGTGCTTTGTGTATTATGTGTGGAGATAAAACAGGATCCTTTAATTAAGCTCTTGCACCACAACTTGGGTTTCATGCTGCTTTTTCTAGGTGGTTAAAAGAGAAGACATTCAGCACTTCTTTGAAGAATTTCAGTCTCGGAAAAGGCGACGGACTAACCGGATGCAGTACTACTGTAGTTAGACTGAGAGGGTTTGGGTCTGAAAGGACACATGGCAAAACAATGTTCACTGGCAAACAGAAAAGGCATCTTCAGTTTTTGGCTTCTCATCAAAATCCAGCTGTCCAACAAACATCATCATTTTGTCTTATACGTCCTTCATTTGTAGCACCTAAAACATGTTCTTAACAAATCCTTACATTGCACTTAGAGGGATTTCAGTACCGATGGACTTGGCATTCCCGGGAAAGCCGGCCTTGTCTCCAGGGGAGGAGGGCGGGTACCGGAGCAGCGTGTCCTGCTGCTTCCCGTTCGCCGCTCCCCTGGGTACTGCCGGGGCCTGGAGCCGTGCCTGCGCTAAACCCGCCCTGCCCAGCCCTGCCCTCGGTGGCAGGGAGCCGCTGCCGGCTTGCCTGCTCGAATGGCTCTGCCTCCTGCCTTGGGGCTGCAGCGATTCCGGTGTGGGCCCCAGCACCAAGGAGCTGCCTGCTCCTGCCCTGCCGCGGCTCCGCAGGCGCCGGGCTGTGGCTGTGGCTGAACCAGCGCTGCTGCCTGCCCGCTCCCGCTGCGGAAACGCTCCCCGGGCTGCTCACAAATGGGAAAGCAGAGCTTAGGCTTGATGCAACAGAGTGTTCTGTCTGGTTTTATACATTAAAAAACCTTATTTCTAGTATTGGAGAGGGATGATTTCTGTGGTAAAAAAAGTTTCGGATGATCTTAATTTGTTCATCAGAACATAAACAAGAGCTAGGAAGAGGTACTAAATTACAAACTAAGCGTCGGGGGGTTTGTTATATGCTTTGATTTTAAAAACTAGCCTACAGCAAATTCTTCTACTTTATAAATGTTGCTGAAAACACTGCAGCATCCTGGTATTTTGCTACAGTATGGAATGTTCTTTTTATAACCACTGTGATAATCATGGGACAGGAGATGTTTCACTGACTTTTAAGACTACATGTAGCTGCAATTAAAAATTAAGATTTTGTAAGTTTGGAGCCTAATGTAGTTAGACCCCCAAAACATACTAAATTTCTAGTTTTTGAGAATTTCTATATCCTGGGGTACTATTCTGCTTCCATGTTAATGGTTTTTGAAAAGCAAAGTAGACTTATCATGTTCACTATTAACTGTTTCTGACCATTTTATTTACAAACAGTAGTTTAGCATAGATACTCAGCTGAGCAGTTTCATAGAACATAGACTATGCTGAGTTGGAAGGGACCCATCAGGATCATCACATCCAACTCCCTGGCCTGCACAGGACCATCCCCATGAGTCACACCATGTGCCCAGGAGCATTGTCCAAGCACTTCTTGAATTCTGTCAGGCTGGTGCTGTGACCACTGCCCTGGGGAGCCTGTTCAGTGCCCAGCCACCCTCTGGGAGAAGAACCTTTCTCTGACATCCAACCTAAACTGCTCCTGACACAACTTCAGGCCATTCCCTCAGTCCTGCCTGTCACTGGGCACCACAGAGAGGAGATCAGTGTCTGCCCCTCCTCTTCCCCTCACAGGAGGATGTAACTGCAGCGGGGTCTCCCTCAGTCTCCCCCAGGCTGAGCAGACCAAGTGACCTCAGCCCCTCCTCACACGGCTTCCCCTCCAGGCCCTTCACCATCCTTGTGGCCTCCTTTGGACACTCTCTGACAGCTTTGTATCTGTTTTATATTGTGGTGCCCAGAACTGCCCCCAGCACTCGGGGTGAGGCCGCCCCAGTGCAGAGCAGAGCAGGACAATGCCCTCCCTCGCCTGCCTGGTGATGCTGGGCTGAAGCACCCCAGGACACGGGTGGCCCTCCTGACTGCCAGGGCACTGCTGACTCATGCTCAATGCGTCATCGACCCTCAGGGCCCTTTCCTATTTGCTTTTAAATTTAACTCTGGGTATTGTACATGCTCTTTTTTTGGTAGCAACTGTTACAGGAGCTGTAACTGCACATCTAACTACATTATAAAAAGATTAAAAGAACTGTTCACTGTGTACTGTCTTGTTTTCTCTCAGTGCTGCTGTAGTGTTTTGTTTCCATCCTCGATCCAGGAAGACGCAGGGAGCCCAGTGATGACCTGTTAGATAAGCCACCAAGGTGTATAATGGGGGCTAGTCAAACCCAGGATTTCTGGACCCAGGTGTGAAATAAGGGATGGCAGCCTGCTGGCAAGTGCAGTTTAGAGCAGGACAGGGTCATGTTTCCTCTGTGTTGCAGTTTCTGTAATTTACTGAAGAAGTGGGGGAGAGGGTACCCAAAGGCAATTGTGTCTTCCACAGGAAATAAAAAAAGTGAAAGGCCCCAGTGATCACAGAAATGCTTTAAGGCCCAGTGCCAGCCTTGCTGTGCTTGAGAAAATACAGCAGTGATGGAAGGAGTGAGTTCAAGTGTAGAATTCCTGTGGCTCCAGTTGCAGAGCACAGGCCCAGAACTGACCATGAGCACTGTCCACTCCTGGCATCAGCCTGACACTGAAGCAGGGTCCACCTGAAGGGACTCAGCTCCAAGTCTCCCTTTCCCAAGCAAAAAGCCTCCCCTTAGCAAACAGACATCAGGCATCCTCCTCTCCTCTGAGCTGAGGCTGGCAGGCTTAGAAGCACTGTTGCAAAGTGACAGCCTGTAAGAAAAAATGTTAAAATTGTCTAATTTAGGAAGCTCCCAGACCTCATCTTCCTGGGTGTGGGAGTGAAGGTGTCAGTAATTAACATGTGGGACCACACAGTTCTCCCTCTCCTAAGCCACCTGTGCTCCGTGTCAGGATGTAACCCACAGTATTTTGCCCTCATACACCAGAGTGGGACCAGCAAGTGGCCAGATGACACTTCTGAACTTTAGTCACTGCCTGAAGCAGTGAGGCACTTGTTTCTGAGACACAGATGTAATGAATTGTCAGCTGGAATAGTTGGCAGGGAAACTTCAGCCTGGGAATGCTGGGTACTGAACATATCTGTCCCGCTGCTGTGAAGAGAAAATGAACACACGCTTCCTTGCAGCCAGGGCTGCGGCCCAAGGCCCAGCTCTAAGCAGCCCTACTGCCTTTCACAAGGCATGGCCTCAGTTAGGCTCCAGCCACAACTCACAGAACTACTTCACTGAAATGCTCTTCACTTGTATTGACTGCCTGATCAGAGTGACTAATGTCAAATCCCTCTTTTACACTGGCTGGTGTCACATCTTTGGTGTTCACAGCATTATCGTGTTATCGTGCCCCTTTTTTCCCAAAAGCCTTTTCACTTTATTGCTGGGCTCCTTTCCCCCGGCCCCGGCCACTGCAGCCTGGGTGAGCAGGGCAGGGTGCTGGGTGCAGCTCAGGGGAAGCAGCCACACAACCACGTTCTATACAAGCCATTTATTTGAAATGCCAACTATACGTAGGATAAAGTCAGTGTTACATGCTTCTCAGCAACAGTAGAAAAATAGAACCAGTGAAAACCTTTTTACAACTGTAATGGTACTCAAAAGAGAAATGTATTGTTTTACAATGCATCACACAAGACTAGAATTCAAGTTTGGAGGTACCTAAATAAAAATACTATTTTTTTTAAAAAAACACTATGTACAATTGAAGCGTAAACAAGTTTTACAAAGTACTGGTTATGCAGGTTGTAGAAAAAACACTTGCATAGGACATGAAGTCAGTTTAAGAAAGTTTTCTGAGCCTTTAGCATTGAAGGCACTTGACTTTATACCAGTAACAACACAAGGACAAGAAACAAATTCTTAACACTGCCAAGGGCAGGGCTGCCTTCTGGCAGTACAGGTAATTACAGAAACCCCAAATGCGGTTTTACACGTTTCCCTCTAAGCTGTTCCCTGCATCCAGCAGGGCTCAGCACCACCTCTACCATAGAAGCATAGAATTATTAGAACAGTGCCTCAAACAGCATTAGTGTTCTTTCAAAAAAAAAAAAAAGAAAAAAAAACAAAAAACCAAAACCCAGAAACACAACCAAACAAAAAACCCATACAAAACACCCAACCCCCCCCTTGCCCCCCACCCCTTTCCCAAACCCAAACCAAAGGAACCACTAAAGACGTACATCTGGGACATTATGGGACCAAAACCCAAGGCTTACAAGTACAGGTGGCCACAGCCTTAATTTTCGTAAGTGAAAATCCTTAAGAACAGGAAAATACAACATGAAACTGCCAATCAACACAGCAGTTACTAATACACAACTACAGTAATTCTGTGGAACAACGAAACATTTCAAAGGAAGAATGTGTTTTAGGAATTAAGTTATTCACCCACATACTAAGGAAAAGAGGAGTTGGGTTTGGGGAAAGGGGAATAAGACCTTTTTGCATGTTGCTCACTAAATGCAAGTCTGAGCTCTCTTTAACAGAACAAGGAGCATGAGTCTCCCTCATTCAAAAAAACAATGTTTATACCTCTATCCTCAAGCAAAATAGTCAATAATCTGTCATTTCCATCTAATTTATAGAAGGAAAAGGTGTCAATTTCCAGCCTAATCAGAAAGTGCTTCATGTAAACAAGGAGCTTCTGCACCAAAGTTTCAGTAGACAGAGAACAAGGAGTAGCAGGTAGCACAGGTACGTGTGGTGTGCAAGTGAGATGTAGGATGAACACTGGCTTCTGAATAATGCTGCCATGAAAAACGGTCTCACCCCTCTGCACATCCCAAGTAGGAAATCCTGCTCTGGAGTACAAAAATAAAGTTCCAGTAATACAAGAAATCCTTCTTTTCCACTTCAAACCAGCTGCTGTTAGCTGCCATCTTCACCCCAGTTCAAAATATGCAAGTGAAAACACAGATTGTCTATATGGCCTGATTGTCTTTGTGGCCTCTTAAGGACTTGTCTTTCATTCTGCATCTACTTTTAAACACTTTATTCATCCTTTTTTTAATACTGCACAGCTCCTGAGACTTCAGAAACAATTTTGTATTCTAAAACGCAGACATGTCCTCCCTAGAGGCATTTCTCACCAGCTTATTCCAAAGCCAAAGAATTTCATGATTTCCTTCAAACCAGAACCTCAGAACTTCTCATCTTCATCAGCCACACCCCACCTAAATGTCAAGCTTTCAAGTTCTATCTGTATATCTCAGCCCCACCTCTGCCCAAGTACACAGTGCCACATCAAACTATGATAATCAAAATAGTTTTCCTGAAGTACATCTCTCAGTTTTAGGCAAAACCATTGAGAATAATAAGTTTTCTGAGGGCAGCTGTAATTTTTTAGTAGTTAAGCTGCCAACACATACATGATGCAAGTCCAGAGAGTTTCAGGGTTCTTGTGTGTGCTGAAAGGTACTGGTTCTACTGAGCTGGTCTCATGCTGGTGAGGATGAGACCTCCGTGTGCGGTTAGAGCTACACAGCCAGACAGCGCTGTGCTCAACTCTTCAGGAGAAACCCAACGAGCCTCAGCCCCTTCACCTGCAGCAGCACCACCCCCCACTGACATCTTCTTGCATTTAACAGTGTTCTGCACCACAGTCCATGGAAATCCCACAGATGGGTGATGAAGCCAGGACCACCCAGTGCCTTGACTGTGGGCAAAAATTCAAGATTAAAAAAAGCTGACAGAGGAAAAAAAAATCTCCCCTCACCCACATCACCTGCAGAGTTTAGGCAAGTTTCTGCTCCAGCCCTACACCATGCTGTCCATGGCTGCATCTCAAAAGGAGCACCTGCGACACCACCACGGAAGCAGGTCTATAGATGTGTCTGCAGTAGACACAGAGTTGATGGGTTCAAAGACCCATAACTTAATTCATCTAGAAGCTATCTGGTAGTTTGCAAATGCAGTGTTCAATATATTTCAGTAACACTGTGTTGCTACTAGGCCCTCCATACTTTAATGAAACACATTAGGTAAGAATTTGCCATAAACTAAAACCAAAAGTAAAGTCGCAGCAAGATTTCTGTTAAACAGTATTAAGCACTTTGAGCTGCAGGACACAAATCAACCTAACCTTAAAGCAGTCCTTAGGTCACACTTGGAACTACAGTTTTCTGCTACAGGGAAACTCATTACAGAAACTGCATTTAACGCCCCACCAAACAGGACCTTACCAGCAATCACTACTCTGCAGTGGCATCAATGAATGCAATGAATCTGTTGTTAGAACTGCACCATGAGTATTAAGGATGTACTTCGTAATTGTAACCCTTCCCCTGGCGCTCTGCTGAACTCCGCCCCAGTGGTGGGAGCCAGCCCGGACCAGCATCCTTCCCTCCTCACATCCTGTTAACAGGGCAATCTCATTTCTGTGCTTTCAAAAAGCAAATCAGGCAATGGAGGTGAAATTTAAGAGTGCCAAAGTGTGGCGATGCTGAAGCAGCGACTCTTCACTTGGATTCTGCTCACAGAACAGCTGCACCTGTGGGGCCAGCACCACGTGAGGCCAGGTAAGGAACACTGTCACCGAGAGTGAAGCCCTTTTGTAAGCACAGGCAGGAGAAAGCAAGGCCATGGGCTGTCAGCCCAGCACCACTGGGGAAGGAAACCCTCCCACGTGTTCAGGCAACAGCGAAGGTTCCGTGCCTCGTCTTCCTGACACTCCACAAGCTAGCAGGAATCCGCTCATCTGGTCTTTGCCTACCCACGGATGAGCAGCTGGAAGAACAAGTAATTACTGTAATTTTTACAGTATTTCTAGATTTATTTCTAAATGGGCAAATCAGCAATTCTAGTCTGTCTAGTAAGCTTCCTGCTTCCAGGTGATCATGGAGTCCTCCACGGTCACAGTCGAAACAAAAGTAAACAGACCTGTACTGTCATATTCCAGTGAATTTCACAGGAATTTGGATTCCTAAATATCCCTCTGGATTTTTAAAACCCCAAATATAATTCTTGAAGTGGGTTTGCTATGTATCTAAAGGTAAGACCAGCTGCCAGAACTTTTTAAACAAAATATTAGACTGGATTCTTGCCATAGTCGTAAAAATCAGGAAGATTTCAATTTAAACAAACAAAAAAAAAATCCAACTAAAAATGTAGGTTTTTTGATGTGCTGTTCTTTGGAATTCCTATAATTAAAAAATAAATGCGCTGTTATTATCTCATAAGAAAATACATTTCATAATGTGCAACCCAATGCACATAGAGAATCAGCATGTGAAAGGGTAAATGCAAAAGTATGAAAATACAGTCCTTTAAATGTGACATTAAAGTTTAACATATTAGTACAAAACTAATACACTAAAATAGATGTACAGGTGCAAAAGGCTACCAGGTTGTAGAAAAAAAGGTACCAGTTTCTGTTTTTTTAAAAGGCTTAATTAAATCTGCTCCAAAAAAAACTGCAACAAAATAAACCCAGAAGCAGCATTAAAACCAAACTGATAACATGCTGTCTCTAATAAAGCAATGTATGTACAAAACAAGTGAGCAAAGCTGAATTTTTCTGCTGGCATGAAAGAATTTCTCTGACAGAAGTCAGGCCAAAAGTTGCAAGGAATGGGATGTTTACAACTCTTAGGCACAGAGAAATAGTGGAGGTTACTTTCATAGGGCAGATTTTTTGTACAGGAAGTCTGGTTTGTTTGGAGACCTCCTTCCTCTGCTTACTCCATCTTCCCTTTCCAAATCTGCATTTCTCTGTGCTCCATGTTCCAATGGCTCATCATCTGCCAGTCTCCTACTGGGTCTCTCTTCTGGCACGTCAGAGTTGTATGCAGAGAGTGAAGGTCTGTTGGAGGTTAGCCCATAGGTTAAATCCGTTTCCATTTTTGTTCTTCCCCTGACGTGAACAGGGCCATTCCCAGCATTCTCCTGGGTAGCCAGTGCCAAATCCAGTCTCTGGGGAGGCTGTTCTAAGACATCAAGGTGTATTGGCTCATTCTTTTGCCTGTGTTGATGCCCATCTTGTGAGAGCAGGTACTCCCTCCTAGAATCCTCTTGCTTTTTAGGAGATATCTGGGAAGGCAGATAGGCTGACTTTAAGCCACTTGGTGATGCCTTATTGTGGCTGTACAAATCTGGGCCAAAATAAATGCCTGGTGAAGGTGAAGGACTGTGCCTGTTGGGTGCTGGAGTAGAGGGTCTGCATGCAGCATTAGAGAAGTCATAGAAGTCAGGATATTCCTGCGGATTTTCTCGAGCATCTATTTTTTGCTCTATTGCATGTTTTTTCCGAGAAGTAGGCATGTGTCTGTTCTGAATGCATGAAATGTGCTGGGGTGGGCCAGGCCCTACCTCTGTAACTGCCTGGCTCAGCTCCGTGTCCACCGTGAGCTCTGGTAATCTTCTGTCTTTCAAAGACATTGCTGACACACCCATTGCGATGTCTGGCATCAGATCATTTAGCAGGGGCTGAGTACACTGAAAAAGAAAATAAATTGGTCCATGGAAACAAAGACAAGAGCTAAACACAAACTGCATTTAGGGTGGTTTTTGTAATTCAAAAAGGCATTTTCTTAATCTACTTTAGTCTTGCCAACTTCAGCCTGCAAGTTTCCTGCACTGTTTAAAGAACACATCTATCCACCAACCTTCACGTTCCTGCTTCTTTCCTTCATGAAGCTGTTGTGTCACAATTACAGCTCCTCTTAAATGCATCTTGCCTTGAAAGTGCAGTTAAGGACAATGTAGTGCTGAATTTCTTAAAGGCAGGCCTGCTCTAAGCCATTTACAATTATCACACCAAACAAGGTACTTGGTGCAGAGCCTAACAAATGGTTTGTCACAGCACACAGTTCCAGTGCAGGGAAGCCACAACACACACATGTCATCACTACAGACACAACCCTTCTGCTTCCCCATTTTAAAGCAAGTAAACTGCAGGCATGTGTGTGCAGGACAGCCTCAGAGCTTGGGGGAGCATCAGTTACAGGACTCACTGGATCCACAGAGTACGTGAAAGCTGCTGTGCAGCATTCTTCCACCTATCCCATGCTTGCCTCAGTGCAGAATTGCTGATATGACAGACTTCCAGACAGAAGAGTGATAATTTCTACTTACATTTATCATTTCTCATGAAAGCAACTTTAGTAATCGTTAAGTAACTCACAAACTGCAGAAAGACTACAGAACAAAAATATCCTCTATATTAAGCGCATGCTCCCCCTTGCATTACTTATGGACATGTTCTGGCAGAAATACTTCTGACATGAAAAAGGTTACTATATAGTTTCCTTAGGGAAGTCAGTATTGATCAAAGGAGAGTGACATGCTATGAATCCCACCTTTGACCAAATAATGGCACACATTTCTAATATGAAGTTATATATTTTATTCTAAAATAGAAAAAGAAGTGCAATATATTTAAGACAATTGCTAATGGGCAGAAAATAAAATTACCAAATTCTTCATTCAGTACTTCCTGTATTTCATAAAGCTATGTCTTTATGGATATCTTATAGTCCATTGTTTTTATTGTATCATATTGTATTTCAGCAACTATAATGACTGCTTTTAAATGCTGTAACAAAGTTCTTTGTATCAGCAATTACCAATTTCTGCTTTCCAATTCCTTTTCAAATACTTCTCAGCTATAAAGCTTTCATACTCTTCACACATGTATAAAGGTAACCTGTTTACTTCAGACTACTTGCCTGTAAATAGCCAAAATATCCCCACTACTTCTACCTGTGAATTACAGTGTGCAGTCCACTACTGAAGATGGCTTATGCTTTTAGTGTAGTGCAAACTACATTTGCCACACAAGTGGTGGCTGAGGTCACTTGGTCTGTTCAGCCTAGAGGAGGCTGAGGGGAGACCCCACTGCAGTTACAACTACCTGTGAGCGGAAGAGGAGGGGCAGACACTGATCTCTTGTGACCAGCGACAGGAACCAAGAGGTTCTTCACCCAGAGGGTGGTTGGACACTGAAACAGACCCTGTGGGTCCCTTCCAACTCAGGATATTCTGTGATTCTATGATTTCAAAAGATTCCTGAGTGCCATTTGCCCCTCTAATAATGCTCATGCCCTGGAATGTTCGTTCTCCCAGAGACTAGGGCATGCCTTTGGGATAGACAATGCTGACAGTTTGGTAGAAAAACCTCCTAACCAACAAAGACACTGACTTTATTTAACAAAGCCAAGTTACTTCATCATAACCTCCAGTTCCTTCAATAAGGTACTTTGAGTGGCCAGAAATAGGCAAAAGAGGAGAAATCCCAACACTTACTACTTGTTTCTCAGCTGCCATCACTGCTGCTGCAGCCGCCACCGTTTGGCGCCCCAGAGCCGCGGTGTTGGTGCAGTCGGGAGGCGCTGCCTTTGCGCCGGGCAGGTAAACAGGAGGGGCGGCTTTGGGGGCGGTCCGCGAGTGGAACAGCGAGTGGTTACACGGGTAAGAAAAGGAACGCGAGGGATGTTGACTTGGCACCCTTTGTTTCCAGCCCACTTTGAACTGGTTGTGAATAGGAGTTGCTGGTGGGTGGTATGGAGGTGGAGGAGGGGGCAATGGTGGATGGAAGGCCACAAAAGAGTCCAGTTCTGTAAACATGGTTTCTGCAGTGGGAGTGCTGTTGATACGACATCGTCCAGGCTGTCTCACTGTCAGCAGTGGGCTTTCATCCCCAAATCGCTCATCAGGAAAGAATTTGTGAGGATTCTGCAGAAGTAAAAACCACAGCATGTTACAAGACAAAGTAGGAAATCTTCGAGAAAAATCTCCCCACCTAACACTCTCAGAAACATGTTAATACTGTAAGTGCCTGGCTGTGCTACATACAAACTCACCAACACTCAAGGTGACTACAGCTACCATGCAAAATGGATTGGGGTTTTTTAAAATAGGACAAGAACCATCAGAGTTCTTAAGTCACTGTAAGTTGACCAACAAATGCATTTGCATTAGCACCAGTGTATAAACAGAAGAGGAATTTTCAGTTTCCCAGTCCTGACATGTACTGTGCAGACCTACAGCATAAGTTACCATTTTTTCTCCTCTCTTTCTAAAGAACAAATAATAATCTAAGTTTCAAGTTATGCTTCCACTGTTCTCATCAACTCTTTTTAGCAGTTTTATTTTGTCCCCAAAATTTGTGTCAATAAGAGCCTCCTGAATGGCAATGACTCTTGAGAAAACTACATACACACTGCACTTAGAGCTTTATAAAATCACATACATCAAATGCAACTGCTGTTTGCACTGGACAGTCACACACGCATTTCAAAGCACTTGTGTGTATATACAGCAAGTACTCCTATTGCAGAGTACACAATCGAGTCCCTTCCTGTTCTTACACAGCCACCCTTCATACCTGCAGGAGCTCAGCAGCAGCATCAGAAAGCCCAAATTCCCGCAGCACACGGATCTGGATCTCGTAACTGACGGTGGCGCCTTCCCCGCAGTTCAGAGCGTAGGCTCGCTGCACCTGCTCGGTGTGGCGCAGCTCCTGCAGCCTCCTGATCATCTCTTTCACAACCAGGAGATTGGGAACTGCAGGGATAACACAGAATGGGGTGGGGATAAGACAGAGTCCTTTTTTTCAACTCTAAGACAGTAAGTTTGATTGCAATGGTTGGATTTATTCTGAAAGAGAAATCTAACATCAGGCTGCCTTGGCTTTTGCTTTTTTTAAGAAGCATTCTGCCAAGAACTGTTCAACTTAACACATGTTCCATGGACCATCATTAAGCCACATGGGATAACACGCATAATACAAATGATAAAAACATACACCCTTCTCTAGCTTCTGCTAGAATGAGCCCCAAATAGAGCTTTCTTTGTAAACCCCTTACGATGCAGGAATTCCATGATTTGAGGTGGGGGCAGGATATCTTGAATAACAACTGAATGTTCCCTCGTGAATTGCACAGGCCAAGAATTCATTGATTGTTTTTGGCATACACTTCATACTTCTAATGCAGTTCTATAATCAAAAGACCATAACACCAGTATGTAACTAGAGAAAGGGCATTTTACAAAAGTTACATGAACTGTAAGCCAACAAAAACCTGTTAAAATTATGTTGTTTTATGCAGTCATATTGAAATATTTTTTAAAAAACCATTCCAAAAGAAAGTCATGTATAATTTTGGGTATTTATCCTGTTGCAAAACTTCCTCATGCCACTTCTTACTGCTGTTTGATGATGAATGGTATTTCTCTGTGGTGTTTCTGTCCCAAGGAAAATGCACACAAACAGAGAAGAGAAATCCAGATCTCTGAGTGTGTAAGTCCTGGTGTCTGATCCTTCACCAGCTTTACAAGTGTTATGTATTACCATGACCAGATGTCTATAATGAAAGCTCATAAAAATTAAACAGATCATACAGCAAGAACAGTGTGAAAAGACATTTGCATTACAGAGGAGGAGAAACATCACACAGTTACAACTAGTCCCAATTTAATGATGTTTACATTGGTACATGAAGGAGAAGTATATGTACTGCAAAATATTTCCCACTTCAGTGGCATTCCTGCACTGAGAGGAGAGGGAAGGAACCCATTCTAACCAGTCTTCAAGGCTTGTAAATAAGTCCCCTACCCTCAACACACTTAAATTCTTCTGAAAAAACCTGGTTTAGCAGCCAGATGTTTAGCTACAGCCAGCATTTTGCTAATACTTAAAAAGCAGGATCTAAGAGAAGTCTGAAGCAGTTCTCCAAACTAGTAGGCATAAAAATGATAAAAGGTTTTCATTAAAAAATACTGTGTTCTCAAACCCTGGTTTGTTTTGGTTTTTTTTTTTTTTAATTATTATTCATGTGAAACACATGGAAGAAAGATTATGTATATAAAAAATACAATTATCTCAATTGCAAGATTTCTAATTCAGACTGAAACTGGAAAATGTGTAAAGAAACCCAACCACCTGCAGAACCTGGCCTCAAGTTAGAGCAGGCTTCAGCTGAACTCATTTTACAATAGTGCTGCAGGAAGAGCACTAGAACACACTGCCAGCAAGTTTGTGCAAAGAGTGCTCAGGCAAAGGGTCCAAGGAGAAGGCAGGGACAGAGGGGAGCAGCTGAGCTGTGAAGCACGCCCTGCTCTGAGCCCAGCCCAAGGGCCATGGAGCCCCCAGTGCTCCCTGTGCTCCATCTATGCTTCGGGATGGATTCCTGTACAAGTTAGAGGTTGGCACAGGCTTTACTCTCCTCACATTAACTGGGCCCCATCTGCCCATTCTAGCAAAAAGGCACTGGCAAGCCAATCAATTCTTTTGCTTAATTACAGGACTAAGCAAAGCAGACAGTTGCCAGGACACAATTCCTGCACTCCAGCTACTGGCCAGGCTCAGAGCTCCTATCTATGCTCAAATCAAGGGGCTGGCAATACTTCCTACCTGTTAAATTGTACAGAACCAAGAAGCAGGGGAGTTTCAGATTGGTCAAGATGTCTCATGCTTGCCAACAGAGCCAGTTTTTTTAAGAACATGAGAACTTTGGCAAAACATTGAAAACCTCTGAGAACCTATTGCCTTTCTCAAATTCTTTGGAAATTAGGATTGAGCATGGTGTTATCAAAGTCCTATCTTATATGAAATACTTTCTATTCAATTCATGCTAAGTATATTTACACTTTTCTAGGGAGGGAAGTCCAAGTACTATAATGCACTGCTGAGATGCCACGAGCTCCAGATTACTAAACAAACAATTGGTACTTTTATCAGATTTTTCAAACAGAAGTTCTCAGAAGCTCATTTTCAGCTTTATCAAGTTTCTTCCCAGACTAAAGAAGCAAACAGATCAAAACCAATCTACAAATTTTCCTAGAAATCTTATAACTAAACAGTGTTTCAAATCCTCCTAACACTTCAAATTAAATTCTCTTGCAGCAATTTCAATCCATTACTTTGGTCCTGGGTCTAGCATCTGTAAAAATAGTTTATCTACTTCCTTTCAACATAGCTGACTGAAGAGAGACCTAATTGATGTATGAGGAGCTTATAAAATGTGGAATGCCATAGGCACAGCATTTTCCTTCACTGAATTAAAATTTAATCTTGGTTATTTAGCTATCTAATCCTGTCCTCCAAAACATCCACAGACCCTACCAACTTGTCATCAGTTGCAAGCTTTGCCAGTCTTTTCTCTATGCACACTGAGTATTAGTGGGTCAGGGGAAAGGCAGGAAGAGCTAGGTGCTTTAGGAACCTCACTAGATAAATTCTTCCAGTCTGACACCAAAAGATCATACGCATAAATGACAAAATACATTTAGTACATGTTTTCCTGGCTTGCCTATGGGGAATGTCACACCAATCATCCTGAAGTCAGGAGAGGCCATATTTACTTGAGCCTATAAAAATGTACTCTGACACATTATTCCACAAGGAATTAAGTTGGTTTGGCTTCAAAGCTAAAGTGGATTTGGTAAATTGAAGTAAATGTGTTTTGAGTTCTCATTTCCAGTACTTTTCTTGCATACAGAGTTCAGCTGATTTCCTTACAAGTTATATTCTCTGGCTTTCGATTTTTGAAAGATATTTTCCAGACTCACAGATCTTACCTATATTGGACAACTGGTTTGTAGAAAACTGAGAACCCTATAGAAAATTCTGAGAATAGAGAGCCAGGCACCAGCAAGTGTTCTACTGTGTTTAACCAGTCCAAGGGTTTTGTTCTCCGACCAGATACTCTGCCATCAAAAACCAGTTAATGTCTTTAGGACAGACCAAAGCAGAAGGACTATTGCTGGTGCAGAACTAGTCTCCAAGGAAATGATGAAGTTCAATAACTGACACTCACTCCCCCCAGGCCCAAGCACCCACACACTCCCAGGAGCTCACTTGGCACAGGAAACAGTCAGGAGCTCACCTGGGATCTCGTTGGCTATAACTGAGGGAGGACTGCTCTGGTTAGTGCTGACTTGCTGGTGGGTGATCACGTGGCAGCACTGCGGCACCGCGTTGTTCACCATGTACAGCGTGTCGGGCACGTTGGACATCCGCACCATCCGCAGGCGCACCAGGTCGGTCTGCTCCACCATCATCTCATCCAGCACCGACTGCAACGACAGCCAGAGAGCCCCGTGGAGGTGCTGCACACACCCGCTGCCACTGCTGCCCACACAGCCCCAGCCACACCAGCCCAGCCATGACCACACCAGAGTAACTCTGTCAGGTCACAAACAACATCTGGCTTTTATCAGCGTTTTCTATTCCGTTTTCCAGGCATGATCATAGCTGAGTTTGAGCTAAGAGCAGGCAGGAGAACAGTCAGGGAAGGATGCTTTGTTTACTTTAACCTGTCAGATTAGAACTGATCTTCTCGAGGCCAGACCCTCTGGACTTAAGACAATTACTGCTTATGAGTCTCAACTTTTTGTGCCATTGAGTAGAAGGTACTAGCCTGAAAATGAAACATGTTTTCCTCAGACATCTAAAGAATAGAAAAGGATTTAGGCCTACACTCTGAAGATTCTTACTTAAGATCAAAATGAACTTATTTCAAAAAATGGTAGACTAGCAGGGGAGTAAAAAAAACCAAACAACAAAAACCACTCATTCACAATTTTTCATTTCACAACAGTTAAACTATGTACAGGAGGAGTAAAGTTACCAGAGACTACATATGAGAGTCCTCCCTCTAAGGGTAAAAAACCTTAAAATTATTTAAAAATACTAACACTGTAATATAAAACCAGTACTAACAAGCAGGAATTCTGACAGGGCTATAGGGGTTGTAAGAATGCACTCTTTACTTTGAATAAATACTAAAGCACTCCCATAGCATATACCTGGAAACTAAGAGTCAAAGCTTTTATCATATTTTGGTTAGTTTTAGCAATCCAAAATACAAAGAGAACATTTTAACCAGCTAGTCTTCCTTCGTTATTTTAGTGCCACTTGGTGCTCTCTAACTACTGTGCCCAAAATGCAAAGTAGTTTTATTTCTTCCCTTCCCTCACAGAGGACATCAACAGCATCTTATACCTTTAAAAAACATTTTCTCTCCTAGGCAGAGGCAATTTCTCTCCAAATTCACCAGAGCAGATGTCAGAGTTTGTAGGTGATGTGGATGTACACAGCTTCACCTAACCCTCAGGTTCTTTTGTCACCTGCACTGCTGGGACTCACAAGCTCTCAAGTCAGAGCCAATTGAAGTGGTGGCACTGGTCAGTGACACAAAAGGCTCCCATTCTGTCCACTAGAATGTGGCACACTCATTTCCCACACAGCACCATCTCCACCCTGCCACCATCCATCACCACCAGAGATGCTACAAGATCTTCAGCTTGACAGAGCTCATGCAAGAAATTAAATAGGAAAGCAACTGCTTGAGAGGGAAACAAAGAGGGAAACAAATTCATTCAAATTCGACACAGGATATTTATTCCATTTCGCGGAGGATCACAAGATTTTGGGTATGTTCTGATTTAAACAAGATGATGAAATATCAGTCCTCTGCTGAGTGGAATAGCAGCTCCCCACCCAGCTCTGGTGGGAGCTGGGGAGCCTGAAAGAGCTGGCACCGAAGTTGCTGACTAGCTGCAGACTGGGACTCTCAGGCTCTCACCTTGCCATCCGCCTGCCAGGAGGGCTGCCGAGGAGCTGGGCCGGCAAACTGGCTGGAAACCAGGCAGGTTTCCCTCAGAACGTTGCTTTGTTTCCGGTGGAATTTCATCAAGATCTGTCTCGCAAACATTTCAATTTCGACAAAAAAAAATTTTGTTGAAATTTTTCTGACCAGTTCTAGAGACTTGAGCCTGATGATCAATCTTGTAAGTCTTGTTAAACTGAAAATGTTAGTATTTTAGGCCAGTACATGTAAAGAGACAAAACATCCCAAAATCTTTCCCTGTTTACAGAACCCCCTGAAGACTCCAATCTGAGAACAGACAAGTGTTGCTGATATTACCTTAGCCTCCTCCACATATGGTGAGAACAGTCTTGGCCGCACATATATTCCAGCATTTTTTTGCCGCAGCCAGGCATTAGACTTTCCACCTTCTGAAGTTGGTAGCATGTCTGAAGGAGGAGTACTAATCAGGCCTCTCTTCATCTTTAAGAATCAAGAAAGAGTTTTATGGTTTTTAAAATATTAATATGGTAAAAACGTGGAATAAATGCATTATTTACACTGAATCCTTACACCACTGATTTTTTTTAGCCTTTTGATAGATTTAAAGAACACAAAACCTAACCAGAAAAACAGTGTTACACATCTACTATTCTCAGTGACAACATTTTAGAAGTTAATCCTTAAAATAAAAAAAATCAACACCCACCAAAGCAAAAAACCCCCTCACACGTGAATACTGTAACATGCAGAGAGGTATTTGTATGAGACTACTGACTTACTGCATCACTCAGTACTTCACTATTCATGGGTAAGATGTGCTCAATGCGGACAAAAGGTAAAAGTGGAGACAGGATCTCCCTCAGCTCTTCAATGTCAAGATCTCTCCTCTTCACACCTCTTTTATTCACACTGTGAGCAGTACCACTGAGTAAATTAGGCTCTGTGGGAAGGAACAAGACATGCTAAGTTTTTATCAGAAAGTTTAAAGAATAGGGGGAGGTACAGGGCTTACCTTACAGGGGAGGTTAAAGAAAAGGGAGGAAAATTCTCATTTTATATCAGTAGGGCTCATCAGCACTGTTCCACAAAACTAACAACTGAACATGGCACTTGGTGCTATGGTCTAGCTGAAAGAGTGGTGGATTGGTCAAAGGTTGGATTCCATGATCCTGGAGGTCTTTTCCAACTTAAATGATTCTATGATTCTACCTCATGCCTTAAAATCTTACGTGAAGCACCCACAGAGCCAGGTTCAGTTTATACCAGCACGGGTCATTGGCACAGCTGCCAGCTTCAAAGTGTAAGCCAGGCAGAAAATACAAACATAGCATTTGCCATAAACATTTGGAAAGCTCTATTAAGAGCTATGCCATGAAAGCAGTTCCCCCAAGGACTCTCCTGCAGCTCCTCTGCCTTTCCCCAGCTGTTTTCAAAGACACTTTGTATAAATTAACCTCCGAAGTGTCCTCAGGGATACATTATTCTAGCTTCCTTGTGTATCCCACCTCAGTAACATGGTGTCAAGCCCTCTCAAATTGCTCTCATGGTCACAGGACACCTATTTGTAGCAGAAGAGGCATCTTCCTGGAGACAGCAAGATGACCATGCAGCTCTCTTGTATTTTAGGTATTGTACCCAAGCCGCATGTGACTGACTAGCTTCCCTCTTTGAGGAAACCTGTCAAACATACCCACCCCTCCCTCAGTACACACAGCTAAACTTTTGGCCTTTGTTACATTCTCTAACGCTCTGTGGCATTGATACCATCGCACATTCAGAGCTGCAATACAAGGAGTGTCACTGAGGAATTTAAATTAAATGACTAGACTAAACCTGGCCCTAAACTGACAGAATTTGGCGCTGTCATTATTTCTGCCTTTGCTTATTGTTTTTTCTGATGATTCCAGATAAGAGATGTGAGCTGTTTACTTAATGAATGCCAGAGCAAGAAGCTGTGCAGTGATCCCGAAGGAGCAGCTTCTGCCCCAGCCCAGGTCTGTTACTGTTTAACTGGCTCCATTATGTTCCAACGTGCCCTAGGACAAACACTTGGGAAATCCTGTTTAGGAAATAGGTAAATACTTACCCAGGACACTAGAAGCACATCCTTTAACTAACTTTTTGTTGCATTTCACAAAACATGTCCATGACAATGCAGCTGTGTTGCAAGCAGTAACAGTGGGTTTCAGAAGCATGGCCAGCCTTCCCAAGACAGTAGTTACAGCAGTACTGCTCTGTTTTCACTCAGGCAGGTTCTTCCCTTTCTGCTCCTCTTGTGGTACTATGTGATTGACACTTTGTAGTGCAGATGAACTACAAGATCCTTGCATTTGTTATCTGGGACATACATGTTTAACCTACTTCCCATATCCAACACGTGTAAGATTGCCCTTGAAGTTACCACGGTAGCAATAATGTGCATCTGGGCTCATAAAAATACATTTACATCTACTTTAGGGAAAACACTGGTGGCCACTTGCTGGCTTCTTTCTCACTACCACAGGTTCCTGTCAGAGAGACACACTCAAACTGAAGTGAAAGGCTGACATAGTAAACTAAGAGTAAGACTACTGTGAGAAACCTGCGTAACAAGATACTGCAGGGGGTTTTTACTTGATGAATTAGTTACAAGAAAAATAATTCTGAGACAACAGGAAACCAACAAGATTTCAAAATCAGACAGCCACAGAGATTGAAAGGACCTCTAAAAGTTTGGTTGTGACTGAACCAATGTCCTCTTTCCACACCTCCCCAGGTAAGGTACAACACATTGCCCTTCACTGCATCCAGCTGGGCAACCTGTGCCAGGGTCTGACCATCTTCACCGTTTCTTGTATTCCAGTTGGTGCCTCACTGCCTCTCATCTTGTCCTGGGTGCCAAGACAAAAGCGCTGCTCTATTTTCTTTGCTTCCTGCCATTAGATATTTATAGACTCTGCTAAGATTCCCTCTAAGCCTTTTCTTCTTCAGGCTAAACAATCCCATCTCTCTCAGAATGCTGTGTTCTCATTTTAGATAACAAACCTTTAAAGAAAGCAAGAGCATTTGCTTTGTTTTGACTATACTATGGACAAAGTAGATTGAATTTCCCTAAGTTACAGATGACTCACAAAATAGAACTGCCATAAATTTTGGTTCATTTGGTTTAGTACTGCACGGTTTAAAGGATCCTCACCTCGATCTGCTATCCTCTTCATCAACTGGTGTTCTCCCCATTTAATCAGATATTTAAGAATATCTTGTTCACTTGCCTGTAGAAAGAGGAAGTCAGTAATCTGTATATGCTTAATGCTGCATGCAAACACACAAAAGAAAAAAAAAAATCACAGGTTTTTTACAGGTCTAAAGAAACACAGTTGCACCTAAGCATGAAGTATTTGCACTTTATGATCTGCTTACCACTTTCTCCTAATATTTTAAGCTGTACTACAGGTATTTCACCACCATAATTTCTACATTCATATTACTTACTGAATCCCCACGAGGAGGAAGAAGTTTTGTACAGAAGGAAAAGTTTTATTTAGTATGGAATCTTACAGCTATAAAGTCTGAATTACTAAATTTAAAGGGGCAGTTCTACTTCTGGGTGTTTCAAGCTTTTGCTTAACATTACAAATTCAGCAATATCAGCTCTCATGGAAGATCAACAGTACTGTTAACTGTAATTTCTGAAATGCTTCAGGTTAACAAAACTTTTTAAAAAGCACTTTAAATAATCTCTAGCACTTAATCCTTTACAAAAAAGTAAGATTGAGATGAATGAATGTTAAAGAAAAAAATCTAGTAAATCTAGTAATCCTTAAGCTATTAAGGAGTGGTCATCATTATAAAGATATCTTCCCTGAAGAGCAGTGGCAGCAAAAATCCAGAACTTTTCTGTTGGTCAATACAGTTCTCTCTCCCTAAAACCACAAAATCACTGAAGGCAAGTCACCAAAAAAAAAAAAAAAAAAAAAAAGTGCAATACTCATCAGAGACTGTATTTTTCTCTCTCCATGAAAATAAATTGAGTTTTCTGAACCATTTCTAGTTTATTAGCTCCCACTGCCCCAAATTAGCATGTGTTGTTACAGCAAAACTATTCCCACCGCGTAATTTTATAAATCTCTTTAACAGGCAAGGCAAATGTTAGATTCAGAAATGCTTTGTTTAAAATAATTTGCATGCATTTATAAACTATTATTAGAGTTCTAAGCAACAGCATATACCACATTTGGGTTGTGTTACAAGCCAAGAACAAAACTATTTTGTTAATCACTACTTCCATTTAATTTTTTTTTACACATTATAGAAGGAGTGCTTAGTGTGTATAAGCCCTCTTCAGCCTAACAATTTAAAATCAACTACTGCCAAGCATTTCCAATAATGGTATAACACATCCTGCTAGTTCTAGGAGGACAAGCTGTATTCTGCCCTGCAGGTTACCTGTAAATAGTCAGACTGAATAGCTGTGAGCAGGTGGTCCTTGCTGAGTTCGTAGAAGACCTCGGAAGTCATGACCTGGGTAAACTCCTCACAGAGGAAATGCAGTGCCTGGCGATGCACCCACTTGGAACCGTAGGGCTGAGAGCTCCACTTCAGAATGGCAATCAAGGTGTCCAGGGAGATGCTCTCAGCAATAATATCTTCACAGCCTACCAAACAAGGGCAGCAATCAACAGTGTTGTTACAGAGGCACTTCGACCCTGAAGGAATAATACATGTGGCTAAATCCGTAATAGAAAGGGTTATGTACACCCAGTGAGAGTAAAGACAGATGCCCTACAGATCAAGGTTGGAAACAAGGTCTATTTTGACTAGAAGTACAGTAATTTTAAGTTCATGATTCCAACTATACAGTTATTCACTTTTTAAAGGCACATGAAGCATCGTGCTGCTGGCATGCCTGGATAAACAACTGGAAAGCTAGTTCAACCCAATCAGAACCCCCGCTTTGGTTATCTGAGCGTTTAACACGTTTTAACATTGAGAATCTGAGTCACTATTGCTCACAGCAGATTCATGGAAACCCATGAACTGTAACAAAGGTGGGATTTTTGCCTGTATCACTTTGCTCATGGACCCTCCTGAGACAGACCACGTAGAGGAGAAGAAACACAAACTGTAACAGTGCTGGTACTCAGCTACTCAGTACAGGATGAGGGCAGCAAAGCATCATTTTCTGACTCACAGAAAAGGCAGGAAGCAGTGGATGGCAGCTCCAGGCCACCACGATGGCCTCAGTATCCAGCAAGACACAGAAGGTGCCAGGACAGGGAGCACATTCTCTGACAGGGAAGTAGAAGGGAGGCAGATTTCTGAGAGTCTGCTACCATTTCTTCCTACCCACTGCTTTGTAAGGATTTACCCTTTCACAAGGTACACATCTTCTGAAGGACAGAGAGTATAGTTAGAACTCCTGAAGTGAAACGGAGCTGATCTGGAATTAATGAGGGAAGAAATGATGAGGGAGGGCTGAAAACATGGGTACTTGGGACTAGAGAGTTAAGACAGATGGTACCACAACGTTGATAACTTGAAGTCACCAAGAGTACTTTGTTGATTTCATTTGTACATCTGGTTTAGCACAAAGATAGCAATTTAAAGAAAAAAAAAATCTCAGAATTATACATTCCAGTCTCAAACCACTACAGCCACAAAATTACAGCTGTGCTTATGCCTATAAGAGGCCCCCAGACAGTTCAGAGCTACATGTCTACACTGCAATTTTACTTCTTATACATCATCATTTTTCTCTCACTTTCAAAGATACCTAAAAACTAAACTTCGTTTTTTAGGGATGCGTATTGCATTACTGAGCTCTTGAAATAAGCTGAGTAAAAAAGTGTTTAGTACAGTAATCTCAACCCTAGTCAAGACAAAGACAGGTCTCCTGATGCCACATATTTTGGTACTGGCTGCATACAGATAAAACACACTAGCAACAATTAACAGAAATAAAAGAAAAATCTTACTTTTCTACATGGGGCAGCACACAGAATATATGAATATATACAGAATATATGTTCATTCCATTTTCATCATAATAATGTGAAAGCTATGGAGTAGGTAGTAACAAGTGAACAAGCTTCTTCAAGTAGGAGGGAATCTGTCAAAGGAGCTACTACTTAGAAGTAAAGTAACTAAAATGGGATTTTAAACAGCAGGGTTAAAAAGGTAGTGGAAAGCAACAGTTTAAACATGAGATTGGTTATAAATTTGCCTGTCCTATTAGACACATATATTTATACCCAATACTGTAACAACCACAATGTGGTAATTTTAAGAACAATATTCTACCAATAAAATTTTCTAAGCTTTTCAGGCATGTGCTTGAATATATACAGTTTTGGACACAATCCTTATTAAATTTCTAAAGCAGTTTGTAAGAGTAATGTCTGTCCCCCAACAGTAATGCATTTTACACCAGCTCATATTTAAACGAAGCTTTCCTCAACAAGCAGCTGAATGATTTTTTTTCACATGTGTGATTCACCCAAGAAAAGGAAGACTGAATGCAGCCACTGACAGAAGGGCTACCCAAAGCACACACACTTGAGTGATGCAGCACATGCAGCATTACACTGTGCATCTCAGACTCACTCTCCATTTCCTTCTAACAAAGGGGTGGGTGGTGAGTCATGTTTCAACACAACTGCTTTGTCCTTCACCATTTTCATACTGAAATAGTATGGCACTTCTCAGAGCCACCTATCTCCATGAGGTTACATATCGCTACTGCTACTAAGAACAGATTATAGCCTCATTATAGATATTGACCTCTAACGTGCATGGCAAGCACTGGCCTTAAGTGAAGGCACAGGCAACAAAGATGGGCTGGAGGCACTTGGAACATGACTCTAGTCATCACCGGTACAGGTGAGAGCAGAGGATGAGAACTGCTCTGAGATACATTCCGTGGGCTGAGGTACAGGTTAACGAAACTGCTCCTCTAGAAGGGAGAATTTCCCAGATTCCTAAAGGATGAAATCAAGTCTTAAAAAGTTTTGGTCAAGAATCTGAGAAACAGCCTTAAACAAACAAGCAGTAAGTAAATAAACCATCCAAAACCCAACTTATCATCATAAAAAGCTCAAAATACTTCAGTGGATGTCAAAAACACAGAGTAAATTAAGTCTGAAGCTTTCCACTTCAGGATCCATTTTTACCCAAACAGCAAAGGGCTGACATTGCATTTAACTTTGTCACGTGAGTCTCTCTCAGCTTTCCTTTTGGGGCTCAAGAAAGGAAAATGTTAAGTTAGCAGCAAACCTGGCACGTGAATGAAAGCTGTGACTAGCTGCAATTTGCTTAAGAGAGGAGGTTGACTCCCATGAATAAGAAACAAAATAGTTTGAAACCATTATTTAGGGTCATCTGTGCTCAGCCTTCCCGTGCTAAATCCTAAAACAATTTTTTGTATGCAATTATTCTGTTTGCATACAAGCTGACTTCAGCAGAAACTGCATTCCCTTGAACTCTAAACATCACACATTAAGGACTGCCTCGTTTCAAAGGCATAAAGTAAACCCACACACTGAAATCAGTCACCAGGAAACTCAAGCTACAAGAGCAGAGACTTATCTCAAAATTAATGCCATTCCTAGTATTTCATCTGACATTTATTTTTGAAGTAAAGACGCCTGCCCCTTGAAAAGACACCAGAAATGCAGTTCCAATGATCTGAGTAACCTCGATTTATAGAAACAGTGCATAAGCTCAGCCTCAATTCTTCTGTCAAGTTCAAGCATTGCAAACTAACAATAATACGATATCAGGTGAAAAGCTCACTCAGGATAACTAGCAAATGAAACAGTCTTTTTCCCAAATAACTTTAGCAATGGGTCAGAAGCGTGGGGTTATTAAAAGTCTTTCTTCTGAAGTCAGCATAAGGTAATAATTAAAGCGGTTTTTTTGAGCTTTTAAATAAATTGGGGCAACCCAATTCTAGCTATGGAAGGAATCCAGTTTCCTTTCTTCTTTGGCAGACATTATTTCTGCTTTAACAATCAGCCACTTGGCAAAAAAAGTAGTCACCTAATAGCCACAATATTGCTCTTCACAGTGGAATAGAGCATTTTTTCCTGTGAATATTATTTTTTAATACTCAGACAGCAACAACCTTCCCAAGATCCATTTGCAGTGTCACACAAGCTTCTGTGACCATAACTGTCCTTCAGAGATTCAACCTGGAATCTACAAAAGGGAAAGATAACTATCACATTTTGCACAAATTATGCTATTCCATGCACTCCTTTAGCTGGATGCCAATGGAGCCTTCCTACCATCAAGTCCTGGCTGCTTCTGCAGTTCTCTCCCAAATGCAGCCCCACTGTCCTTCCAGACAGAAACAGTTTGAGCCCATGTTTAGCATTCTAGTTAGTGGCTTGGGATCAGGACAGTTGACAGACCTACTGAAGACAAGTCAGCTGCCTTCAACAATTAGCAAAAGTGGCATTAAGCAAACCTTTCACTACACAACTGTTAGCTTGATTTAACTTATTCTGTAGTGAGGACTTTCCCCCAAAACTTGTGCACACCAGTGGAGCCAATGAAAAAAAAATAGTAAGAATTCACTTTAACACTGAACTGAAACCTAGAAGCTATTCAATGTTTTTTTAGTTTGTCACATTAGGAGAGACCATGCTGGCAATCACAGGAACCAGTTTTTGAATTTTTTTGAATATGTATTTAATACTGCTACCATGGCATCCCTGAAATATCAGCCCTTCTAAAACCAAGAGTACTTTTGATGTCAGGTAACATCTGTTTCTAGATCAAACACTGTGCTACTGAATGCAGCAGCACTTACAATAAGGTTTCCAAGTTCTTATACTTGTCAAGAGTAAACTCAACACCTAAAATAAAAGTGAAGTAAAGCAAAAAGTTGGAAATTGAGGGGTCTTATGTCAGTCTTACTTTAGAAAACTTCTTTGAATCAGGTGACAGAAAAAGTTCTCAGGCAAAACCATTTCATAAGGTCCCAGTATCCAAAAGCCTATCACACCAAAACATTCTGTACCACCACCTCAGTGGGACTGCTCCTGACAATGGGTAACAGGGCCAAGATGCAGGAGAGGATTCACACATGTAATATAGCTATCTAATGAAACTAATATGCCTGAAATCAAACTTCCCTGCAACAGTAGGGCAATACAGTAGGACTGGAAGTGGGGAGTATTTTAACAATGTGTGATGAACAGGACTAGGGAACTGATCTCATTTTAGTAACTGTACTACAGAAGAGCAAGGGATAAGTGATATTAAACCAAATCTTTATGAATCAATGTGTTAAAATAATTACACCAGTACAGCTGAGAGAGAGCAGCAGAGTAGCATGAAGACAGAAGAACTGAAGCAGAAAGCAGAAACAGGCAGGCAGAGCACAGAAACATTCTACAAAGGGATGTGCTCCAACCTCCTGGAGGGGGCTGTAGTGCTCATAGCCTCTGTGAAAGCACTGAAGAGTTTCACTTCTGACAGTAAAAATTACCAGAGCACCCCTAAGAGCAGGGTCAGTCCTATTACATACAAAAGGATTCCAGTGTGATCAGCTCTATTGACCAGATATGCTTGCTGATTAGTTCATTTACTCAAATTAGTTCACTGAAAGATCCATTTCAGTTTCTCTTGAAAGATAAGTGACAATCCTCAGTTAAAACAAATCAAGATGAAGGCAGAGGAAATTCTAGATAAAGGTTGTCCTGCTTTACTTGGATGGTAGAGATTCATTGCACTTAATCACCGTCTTCACCTTAGGGAAATTACCTATTAAATCACAATAGTCAAAAAAGTAGTATCACTGTGTTAGGAATGGGAAAATTTCCACAGAAATAGTCAAAGCTGAATCATCTGCTGAAAAGGAAGAAAAATTACAACATCTGGATACTTAGAAAGGTCCCTGAAGACAAATCAAACTAAAATCTGTTGAAAATAAAAACAGCTGATCAGAAGCTTTAAAATACATCAGTTTCACTTGACACTCAGTTACAAACACCCAGGCAAAATTGAGTGGAAGTGAGAAAAATGAACTGGAAAGAGAATCCAGACTTAACATAATAAGCCCAAAATATTTTCCACGAAACCAGGGAGACAAGCCTTTGCAAGTTCCCAACTGGCCAGCAGGAGTGAACTGAAACAAAAAACTTCAGCCGAGGCTGTGGAAATCTAGAGAAGAAACTTAAGACATCAGCTACTGCAAAAGCCAGCTGATGGGATCAGTCAGTACTTGGGGAGAACTGGACACCTGCTGCACCACAGAGTGGAAAAACACTGCCAATGGTCCAAGCTAAGAGATGTCAGGAGAACTGCCTGCTCAGTGGCCTCCAACACTTACACAATGCTGTCTCTTCCCCATCACTCTGCATAACATCCAGAAGTCAGATGTTTAAGTGACAGCTTCCAGCAGGGAAGTCGGCTAGCTGTGAAATCAGGGAACAGGATGGACACTATTGGAATTAAGACCTCCCATCTAGCTCATGTTAAGTATCATGTAAGTGAGGAGAAGATGCTACAATTAAGTCAGAAACAAGAACAGTGGTCATAAGTAAAGCACATCTTTAAGTGACCTGAGTCATGTGCAGGCATATAGTTTTCCCTGACCAAATACGCTTCCTTTTAATTTTGACTATAAGATTATACCAGAACAGTTCTTCCATGTCTGCACTGTACCAGTGACCTAAACATGAACCCTGCAAATTAAGTATGAAACCATTAGATTCTGATTCCACTGGCATATGCAGATCTACACAGCGTTTACTACTTTCTCCTGTAGCTAGGGAATGCAGCACCAATTTGTAAAATCCTAATTAGGTGAAGTTAACATCTAGAATTTCAATATCTGAAGGAGGGCCAAACCTACATTTTCTAGTTTTCAACACTTGCTGATTTTACTGCCTTTCTCCCCTGTGTGTAGCAACAGCCCCACCCCTCAATCTCACTACTTTTGCAGTTAGAAAGGGATTTACTATGGAAAGAAGAAAACCTCTGAATGCCACTGCATCCCTCTACCTCCTCCCCATGACCACCCTCAGAACACCACAGCTCCAGTTCATCCAGAGGGCCACCAGGATCGAACCTGCACTGCTGCACTCGCAGGCTCCAGCCACTCAAGTCTGCTGCTGAGGTGCAAGCCCAGTGCAGCTCCTGCTGCTGCTTTTCTTATTACTCTCCTAGAGGTAGTACTGGGAGAAAACTTCCAGGAAAAAGTAGAGATCTTGTTACCACTGACTCATGAACATTCCAGAGCAGCACTGTTCTGTAGTGCATTACTGAAAAGAGTGCCAATTTAGGACATTCTGATCCAAGTGAGCTCAACTTAAAGCGAGCAGAAACAAACTCAACACCAAATAAAATATCATCTCATTTTTCACTATTTACTAACATAGAAAATAAAAGCCATTTTCCTATCTAAAAGTTTACTTCAGTTTCTCTTGAAAGTTCTCTGTCACTGCTTTTCTGCTTTGCTATAATTGATACTGCTTCTTCAGAGCACCTCCAGATCACAGTTGTTCCAGTTTATGTTTCCAATCTGAGGAAAAGAATTGAACCCTGTTCATTTAGGAAACAGTGCATAATTATTCAGTGTCTCACTGAGGGTTTCATTCACTATTTAATTCTCTCATTAGTATTCCCTGACCACGTTAAATCCTTTTAGCACTTGTATATATGTGCACACACCAAAACTGAGAAACTCCATCACCTCTTTAATTTCAACCCATTTTCCTTTCTGGCTTTCAGCTGATTTACGGAGTTGTTCTCAAGTACTATTAGCTTGTGCATATCATATAGAAATTAACTTAATACCATAGCTGAACTATAGTAAAACTTCTTGCCGCTTCTGAAACGTTAAGTTTCTAGGTGTACTGAGAAGGAAACAACAAAAATAAGAAATATACAGATAGAGAAGAGAGGATCTCAAGGAGTGCCGTGATGTTGATCAAAGTACTGGAGAACTTAGCCTATGAGGAAAGACTGAAGGAAGTTAGGTCTCTTCTCCCTGGAGAACAGAAGGCTCAGGGGACCTTGTCACAGTATTCCCAGACCTTGAGCTACTGTAGGGCAGCTATAAAGAGGACAGAGGTTCTCTTCTCTCGAGAAGCCACACGAAGGCGCAGCAGGTATAAATTGCACAGGAAAACATCTCAACAGAAAATGTTTTTGCAATGAAAACAATCACTTCATCAGGACAAACTCCCTAGAGACACAGTATAGTCCCCACCACTGGTGGTTTTCAAGAAGTGATTGGACGGAATGCTGGATAATCTCACCTAAGCTCACTTTCTCACTTGCATAGGTTGGATCCTATGATCTTTGGAGCCCCTTCTCACCTGGGTTGCTCTGTGATTGGATGATTCTGAGCCTAAGAACAGCCCAATTGCATCCTGTAGCATGTTGCCTCAGAAAACACATCCCCTTTGATCTGTGCTAGTTTTATTGCAGTACAATTATTTCAGCTTTCAGCACAATCTGAAAATTAGTTTCCCAATGGCAAACTCCACATGAGCTACAGTAGTTCTATTAGTTTCTCATATCCTTATCACTCTCAGTTTCATGTAACTATTAGGAGAAGTCATTAAAAATATGACCTCTTCCTGCAGTGCTTATACTGCCCTTTCCTGTCCACTCTTTATCAAGTTTCCTATTTTACTCAGAACTACTTTATAGCTTACAATATAAGGTTTCAATCTTGTCAAACTTAATTTGACAGCTAGAAGTTAAGGATGTACAGACCTACTGTAAAAAGTTACTTTTGTTAAAAACATTAAACTAATTTAAGCAAATTATATTGCTGATATACCAGCGAGTTCCATTTTCCCTTTCTCAGCTCAAAAGTAAAATTCTTATTCCCCATCAGCAAGGCCTGAAACAATTCCCATACTTCATTATGCATCATACAGCCACTAAATAGCTCAAACACCAACAGATAAAAGTGCAGGCAAAGCTCCTGCCACCACAAGAAGCACCTTTAGTGCACTGATCAGTGCTTGGGCACCTCACCTGAGACTGCAGTAATTCAGGTCAGGAGGCTGTATGTAACCAAGATTTGAACGATCTTCAAAAACAACAGAAGTAGTAAAACTTTCTAAACTTTATGTCTGAAAATACTGACTGACCCTGCCTTCAGTTCTGTTCATAGATGGGCAGACATTAAAGACCTAAGACTACTGCAATTAAGCTGTTTAAGTTTTCCTTCCAACAGCAAGATTGCAGGGTTGGTGTCCTTAACACAAACTACAGAAACAGTCATTCAAGTTTACCATCCTGTTAGCATATATGGACACTTCCGAACAAGTCTAAATATTTCCTCCTCTCAAGAAGGATCTCTCTGTAGTTTAGACCCAAAAAATGGATTACAGAAAGCAGGTAAGCATTAGAACTATCAAGACCAGTTATGCATACCAGATAAAATTAACATGCTTCAACAATGATGCGCCATACAACTAAATTTCTTGCATGGCATTTCTTCTGGCCCTAGAAAACAGATCCATTATTGACAACTTACAGATGGAAAATAAATTCCCTTTCTAAAGGAACTGTCAGCCACTTACAGCTGACAATAAGCATCCCTACACTGCAAAATTGCTAAAACTTGTTCTAATAAGGTCATATATTCTACAACGAGGACAGTATTACATACCTTGTGCAAGCATGTTAAATTCCAAGAACAGTGCTATGTGATAAAGCTCCATGGCTTCTTCAGCCCTAGTCATGTTTAGTTTTCCTGCTACAAGAGCCTGAACTTCACTTAAACTGCCCACCGAAGGACTGGAGTGCAAAACGGAGAGGTCTACCACATCTGTATACATACAATTCAAAATGACCTTAGCATATTTTTTTGGTATGATAGATTCATCCAATATAATTCTAGTTGGAGTCCGTAGAGTTCGGTCTGTGATTTCTTCACCAGTTCGTATCCTTCTCTGTAGCAAGTGACGGAAAAAGGGAGATCGTGATGAAATAATAGCTTTGTGAGCTCTGAGCTCTTCATCTAGACAGTTCTGACTTCCACCAAAAGTTTCAACCAAGTCAGAGTTGGATGAAAAGCTAAGAACCACATCGTAGTAGCACATATAATCAAACAGTGCGCGCATGTCAACATCTAAGGAATTTGGTGTTCCAAATTCTTCACTAAGCTGCACAAGAATATCAACATTTTGGAATCTCGAATCCTCCATTCCAAACTCGCCCGTATAAAGGTAGTGTAACAAAGCAGAAAACATAGGCATATCTATGCCAGCTGTGTTAATATCCATTATTATTTCTGCCCCATACTCTGGTGAGGAAGAAAGCAGCGTCTTAAAAAATGGACATCTTGCCGCCAATATCGCACGATGCACAGGAAAACAAGTTTCTTGAAATATTAAGTCTACATCGGTGCAATATTTGTATTGATAAAGTTCAGCCATGTCTTTTTGTAGCGTCCTGGCTTCTGGTCTCGCTAAATTAGCTTGTAGATAAAGTTCCTTTAAGGCTGATGTTCCTTCGTATTCTTCTACTAACGCATTAACATCTCTGACATCCCAGCCTGAGAGGAGCTCACGCATCTGCTTGGCGTGGTCAGCAGATCGGCTCGATTTCCGACGCTTAATGAATTTCTTTTTGAGGGTGGCAAGGCCAGAGGTTTTCTTTTTCTTGTCTTGAGGTTTCTCGTGGCCATGGTCAAGGCTATACAGCTTTGATTCACAGCCAAAACCTTGATGAGAGTAGGATGATGTCCCTGAAGGCAAAAAGGAAAATTGAACACATTTATTCTTTAAATTCAAAAGGAAGGTCCATAACACCTAAATACTTCATCAATGATTCTGCAAGTTATATAGTTCTTCCTTCTCCTCACATCAGATAATTTACCAACGGAAAACCTGACTAGAGCCTTTTCTGGCCATTAAGAACAAAGTCTTTTATTTGCATCTACAAAGTTTGTAGTTTGCTGGGTTTCAGGGTGTTTTGGTTTTTTAAATTTTTTTGCTTGGTTGGGTTTTTAAAAAAATATATTCAATTTTAAGGACCAAGCAGCGCCAGTTGATGTAGCTCTAAAGCATATGGTACATTTATCCAAGCAGGAAGAGAATACTGCAGTTGTAACATGAAAAGTGTAATTGTGTTAACTTTTTCTAAGCCTGATATCTCAGTGAAGTACTAGCAATCCCCCCTTCAAGGTGTTTTCAAATTCTGTTCTAGAATTAAGCATCATCAAAATAATAGATGCATACCTGGTATCAGATAGCTACAGTCAGAAGAAAAAAAGAAAACACAGTACCAGAAACACTCAGGGATTATTTTCAGAGATAATTTAGCAAGAAAAGTAAAAATCCTGTCATGTGAGAATCAAGCAATGCCAAAGCCAAACACATAAAATGGACTCCTTTCTGCAGAATTACAAATACTCATTTGTGCATAAACACCATCAAAAAGACTATGGAGAATGGAAGTTTTACTGTATTATTGAAGATTTCCTTTGAACAGAGCATTACACAATTAAAGTATACATATAATTACTTTTCTTCTCAAAAATAATTTATAGGGAAATTATATTAGGAACTAATACTGATAGCAATTCAGCGAGGAAAAAAGGAATTAGAATTTGCATTTCAACAAGTAATGGAAAACCAAAGTAGTGTTTTAGAAAAAAAAAAAAAGAAGTTAAAAAACCATAGCTTTAATGTGAGAGTCATGCTTTTGTTTAAGCGTTATTTTCTAATATAAGTTTATTTACAGGGCTTTCGCCCTAAGCCAGACGGTGAAGAATTTCAGATATGACAAGAAAAGAGAAAAGGAAGTACACAAACCAAACTCCCACTTCTGGACCAAAGGAGAGTTAACATTTGCAATGCTACAGAGATCAATAACAATCATATGTTCATCTGAAATAGTATTTGTCTGTTTTCTGTCAGGAATAATTCATGTTTCTATTAGTACACTTGTGCAGCTTCACTACTTATTGTCTTTTTTAAAATCTTCCAAACCCCACCCTAGAACCAGAGCTTTTGGGGCCTTTAACAATGTGTTCTATCACTGCAGTCTCACAGCTCCACCTGTAACAGGCAGATTTGCTGTGATGCTGTTTTGACAGTGATGTTATGGCCCAGTCTGACAAAACAGAGGGCAAATCTAGGTACCATGTAATTTTAAGTATTTCTCGAACTTTGAAAGACACAGGGGTAATTCAAAGCTGTATTCTGGACTAAGGCAGCTGTAGCAACCTAACAGTTCTGTAAATTGTTTAAGCCTCAATAACTAAGTAAACTTATACAGTGGCTTTTATGTCAAGCTAATTAAAACTCCCACAAATCATGCAATGCAGTGGTTTTATGATTATTCTATTAGTAAAACTTTGAGAAGGAACTTTGTTTTATTTGAGGAATGACATCTAACCATTTTATCCAAGTTTAAAATTTGCTTGATCAGGCAACATGTTATTAATAATATTGAAATTTCAAGAAGTGAAAAGAATATAAATTTAAATGAAAGTAACAGGAGTAACTCAAGACAACTTCAACAAAGAGGTCGTGCTGCAAAATCCACCATAAGAACCATAAGAATTCCTTCCATAGGCTGCACTAGATATGACAATGGAAAAGTAGAGCTTCAGCCTCCTGCTGATAGAGACAAGCGTAGAATTTCTCCTTCCTTTAAAGAGGTGCATTTCACAATAAAAGTATAACTACACTTTGGTCACTCTATAATGACAGATTCTCTTTCCAGAGAACATGCCAGCTCATTTCTATTTGAAGTACGTTGGATTCTAATGGCAAGTTTGAGTGCAGAACATTCTCTAACATTCCACTAAAGAAAACTAGGACACCACAAGTCTCAATTTCCTTCTTCCCTAAAGGCTGCTGCGAGGTGTTACTTACACATGAATCACCACAAAATACTAAAACGCCATTCAAACCTTTGTGTACCCTGAGCTACTTACAAGATTTAACTTTGGATATACTGCAAACAGTGCTATTAACCCTTGCTACAAAAGGGTGCACTGCTACAAAACTGCTTTTTGTAAGAAGTAAAGATGCATCATCATGGCCTCTGGGTTCACAACAGTTGGTGGCTCCATACCCCTCAAAGAAAGAATCTGGAAGAGAATGTTTTTGGGCTGTATTCCTTCATAAGGTAGCAGCATTAAAAGTAGGAAAAAAATTAATTATTCTTCAGCACTATACTGAAAGGTACCAATCTATTAAATGCTGTTTAAAAGCAATTGCTACTTCATGCCCCTAGACCATATCCAGCTTGGGACAGACAAATATTTACAGGAACAGATGACTGCCAAGAGGAGCTGCTTGGGAATTTGACAATGAAAAATTGGATCTGTTTAGTCCTTTGCATGCCCACACATTTTAATATCTAATTATAGAGCTCTATTTAAAAAAAGCAAACATCTTGAACAGATGTACCACCCTAGGAAATGGTGTGAAATCCTCCTCCTGACTGCTGCAGACAAATCAGCAAGATGACTAACTAAGCTTTTGCTAAAACAAAAGTATTATTTTCTAGTAAGTGCACTACACTATTTTTACTGATTTATCTGCTCTTCATAAACTATAAGCAAACTAGGATGAAGTCAACTAACAATAGGAGCTCATGCTATGAAACTACTGTGCTTTGCCATATTAGTTCTCAGACTTCAGCACTCATCCTACATTTAGCATGAAACATGGTGCAGTGCTTTCATGGCAAAGTAGCATGTCTAAAACAAACCCACAGGCCTAAATCCAGTTTCCAGGAATAAGGCAACTAATACATATTATGCAGCTATTATAACTCTATCCCCAGTTCTGCCACACAATACAATAAAAACAGACACCCCTCACTCCCCCCAACAAATGAATAAAACCCCACAACACCTAAACCCCAAACACACAAAAGCTGATATAACATTAAAACATTATTATTCTGGCAAATGATGAAAACCTCAGCTATCAGTTTTAGGATACACCTATTTCCTACTTGACAGCTACAAAACCCAATCACGTACACAAAAATCAAAATGAGAAAGAGCCAAATGCCATGAAGTGCGAGGAATGTAGATAGCACATTCATGGAACCCCATAACATCAGGATATTTCAGCAAGAATTTTACCCAGAATGCTCACCTGCCTTCCCTAAGATGAGACAAGCACATGCTTTTAGGCTTTCCTCAAAAAGAGCCTCAGTCGCTATTTCCCACAGGTAACGGGGGTCACTAAATTTCTTGTGACATACTACATAATGGGTTTCTATTTTGAGTTTAATAATGAAGAGCATCAACTAAATCTTCCACATATCATGTAGGAAGTTTCTTGGGAATTTAATGTAGCTTTTGGAGATATCTTCAACTCTGCTCAAAAGGCGTTTCAGCCTGCAAATCTGCCTGTTTCAAGGCCTCTGAGGGTTTCTCTTCACTCAATACAGGGGCAGATTAAAAAACACCATGCCTTGTAAGAAAAGCATTTTAGCCACATTTTAGAAAGCATATATGCAGACTGGAGCAAATCTTTTACTAGTTAGCTATGATACACTGAAAATACATAAACCTTTGAGGGGAACTTTACAGCATGAATATCCATAATGCTAGGACTAAAAGTTCCTCCTTGACATGCTGTGACAGCACACACATCCTTAAATGTAACAGTTTGTGGTCTGTCCTCAAATGAGACCTCAGAGCTAGGAATGCCATGAAAGCCGAGAAAAAAGAGAAAATTTACAAAGTGAGTCAGTTTTTCCTCTGCTAAGGATATCACTCTGCTTTCAACAGTGATTAAAAAGAGAAGTAACACTGAATATCAATAACTACTTATGCAGAGTTGCAAGCTGAAACATAAAGGAGAAAAGCATTTATAAACTATTGATGTTCTTTACCACTAAGATCATTCTTCAGGCTGTCAGGGTTGAGTTTTTTTAAAGGAATATTTATCTTCTCAGAGACTGCCTTCTTTCAGATTCATAACATAGCTGTTTATTATTTATAGTGTGACAGTACTTAGATCTACACTGAGGTCTCTTTGTACTAGACTGAAAAACACATAAAGGTAATGCCTGCCCCAGTTATGAGTAGGATGAGAAAGTCCTTTTTTAAGGGCACTTCAACACATGTCTCCAGCTAAGCAAGGTCCCGGCTTGTAAATAACACTGTTAGGACAGTAAGTACCCCCTTCCTCATTTACAGAAAGAGGAAAAGGAAGAGAAGCCTGTTTGTTAGTTTAACAGGTTTATTATCAGAGATATCCCTTCTAGCAGTAAGGAGGTAATTCACTTGGACACAATGTCAATACTACAATGAATACTGATGATCAAGGGTTTTACATGCTCTGACACAGTTTGACAGAAATTCTGAGGAAGAGCAGAAAACAGTATGAGTATTAACAGAAAGTGACTGCTCTTGAACCAGCAAAACTAGCATGCATGGTTTAATTATAAAAAACTCCACTTATTTTATTTAAATAATCTCGCAACTGTTTACTGGCAAAAGGCAGATCAACTCATTGCATACACAGGCCAAACAGATGGACAGTAGTGAATTTCAAGCACGATTGAGCTTGAATGGATTCAAACTGGTGACCTAGAAAATAGCAGCTCTCCATAACATTTCTGCAAGCAAATCAAATCCAGCACATAGACAATCCACCAAGTCATTTATGTAAGTGACAAGATAACTGAAAAGAGTTACCTATGAATGTCTGTTGTGCCTGTGAATTTCCCCCTACCCTTGGGGAACACGAGTGAGGGTAGTTAGATGCATTAGCACCCATTTTCTTCAGTCACTCAGGCATTCCGCCTGCTGGCTCTTCAATGTGTGATCCCATAATCCTTTAGAAATCTTCAATTCCAGGTCCAGCATTCTGTTCCTCCATTTCTGAAGAACAAAAACACCAATAAGGTAACTTCATTATTTGCCACTAAATGTTACATGATTTAGATAAAATAAACTCAGTTTCCAGCGCACACTATTTTTATAAAATAAAACTTCAAACACTTTCAAGATACCCTTTTATTTGAATGATTAAACAAAGATCAGAAATACTTTTTTTCCCCAAAATAACCCGTAGTTTTCCAAACCATTCATAAATCATATGATAAAATGCAACATGGAACAGGATGGCTATCAAACTTTTAGGTAAGAAATTTTCAAGAACTTGAAAGACTATGTAATCTCCTTTGACTATACCACGTAAGACTTTTCATACATGTTTATACCTATTCCCACATGGTTAAAAATCCCAAACTGAATTATACTGTTTGAAAAAGCTAAATAAACCAGTTCCGTTAGAGATTATACCATCATCACTTATTTCAGCTGCATTTTTATTAATTACATTTACATAGTTCTCATTCACTACTGCTTGTCAATTTAAAATTGAGAAGACCTAAAACTACATTTAAAATAGTAAAAATAAGGCATTTAAGGATTCATTAAATGTTTTTTTGGGCATCTGAAAACATCTTAGAAATCAGTTCTGAGGTGAATCGAACAAGGATTAATTGCTAACGTACAACAAAGACATTCTAATTTATTCCAATATTAGCAGTGTTAAAATATTAATACTGAAAAATTAAAATTACCACATGAAGAACCACTGTCAACTTGTGCCCCTTTCCAAAATACAAACATGAAGACAAAGAGTGATAGAAAGGTAAAGTCTGTTCTAAGAATCTTTTAGATTCTCTTGAATACTGTCAACACATATAGATTTGCTATATACTTCTGAATTTTCTCCCTTTCTTGGTAGTCTCCGGCATTTAAATTGGCCAAGAAAGCGACATGCAAGAGCATGATTCAAAGTGCAAATCCTGGAGAGCAGAAAGTGAGAGACAGGCCAGGAAAAAAAAGGCTGCAAATTGCTGTCGGCACAGAGGTGAGGGGAACAAGTGCTCCAGGATTTGAGGGCGGGGTACCTGAGGAAGAAGAGTAGGGAAGGGTTTGAAAATCTGGCTTTACAGACATGGCTATCAAACAGAATTGCTGCTCTGGCCTGTGCATATCCCAGGGTGGCCTCACACAGCTGCAGCCTGCTGAACACTAGTGGAATTCTGCTAGGGTGGGAGACACAACCATAAAACCACCACAGCAGCTTTCAAGCCAACTTGAGCCAACCTACAGGCTTGTAAATGAGACAAGGGAGCTCCCATGCCTGCCCTCTCCAGCCACACAGCCAGGTCATCTCAACTGCATTCAATCTTGAACTTGTCTCCACGAAGCTTCAGCTTGCTACACATCAGCAAACAAAGATAAAATACCCTCCTACACGAACAGAAGCCTACTCAGGATGAAGACAGAACCAGAGCACACACAAAACAGGCAACATCACACCAGCAAATACCAGTAAATCTTCTCAGCAAACACAAGCTGGTGGATTAGCTCGGAGTTAGTCATTGCATGCACTCATCTTTTCCCTTGTGCAGAAATAAGCTATTCAAAGATTACTGAATCCATATGGTGTGGATCGCCACTTCAGAAAAACTTCACTGACTGCAGAAAAAACACTTAGAAAATAAATTCATTAAATCTGTGACACTATAAGTGATTTCTATATGCACCAAGAATATGTTGCTTAAATGTGGTATATATTTCTAGACAGAATTAGTTACACCCAGGACAAACTTTGTGAAGGTAAAAGTCACCTTTCAGTTTAAATGATAACTTGCTCACAGGTAAAGGGTAGCAACCTGAGCAGATAACCCAATAATTTCCCTTTTCTCAGCTAAAATTGGACTTGGTTAATTTGGACTTGAGTCCTGAAACAATGCCATTTTTATTACACTTTTCTGCTTTCAGCTGCAGTGTGATAACTTGTCTATTAGATGTCTACTAATAGTTTTCAGTTCTTCCTGACACAGGAAAGCACCCAGGAGCTAAGTAAAAATGAGAAGAAAAAACAAGTGTTGGGCTTTTCTTTTTTTTTTTTTTATAAGTAAGCACTCAATATTCAGAAGCAAGTCCCAGGTTCACTAAATTTAGAATACATAACTTCCATGCATTACTAAGTCATGCGTGTGCAGGCTGATTTCTTAAGAGTATTTTGCATCTTGAATTCAAATGTTTTGCAGTTCATAAAGTGTAGTGGGCCCCATGGCTTAAAACCCATAATAGCTTTAGTTCCACTACTGTCCTTAACCTCATGTATCAATTGAAAGTACATTTATTTTTAATACCGCACTAAGTTTTACAAGACAATATTATATAACCCATGTTGCATTTCCCAAAAAATTTAGCTAGCACCAGTGATGAACTCTGTCCTGGAGGAAGTCCTGCCTTGCTCTCGTCATTCTCATAACCACTGCTCCTACCTTGTTGGTTCTATCCCAGGTATTTTGTAAACCAGATCAACTGACCCACATTAGAGCCAACCTAAACAAGAAGTCGAAACAGTATCAGTTACCCAATTTGTTTTTATGGCATCACATGAATACTTGCACTACTGCAGCTTTCGACAGCAAAGTGTACTTGAACTACTCGTGGATTTAGATGTCTTTTTTTTGTTTGGTTTGTTTTGCTATTGTTCACTTTGTCCTCTGTACTAAACACAGCCTACCTGAATAGCAGCTAGTCTAGCATATAATTAGCTGAGTCTAGTCAATACAACTCAGCTACTACAAAAATGCCAAGTCAAGAATGCAGCTTCTCCACAGTGAAAGTCACTTGTAAAAGGAGAGAAACATAAAAATTCCATAAAAAAGGAATGCAGCTTCTCCACAGTGAAAGGCACTTGTAAAAGGAGAGGAACATCCAAACCACAAACAATTAGATCTTTAGCTTCAAAAGCAAAGATAGATTTCGTCTTTTCTTGCAGAAGTTATCCTGCATACCAAAAGCTCCCTTATTTCAGCTTATCTGAAGAATTTTTAAATTGCATCTTAGCCTCAGAATACACCCATGGAATTTTGTTTTAAAAACCACCATCAGGTGAGCTTTTTTTTTTACTTTTTATTAAAAGCCTGCATGCATTCCTGTAAACATTACCACAAATGAAACTAAATTCAACATCTGCTGACCAACTGAAACAGTTGTTGAGAGCAGTGACGCACATACAGATGTGTTATGAACGTACACACATACACAGGAAAAGAGTTAAACTATGTCAAAGCTTGTTTAAAAAAGCCTGTGCTGCAGAAAAAGTATATGGAGTGTGTTATGTGAAATGAGGAAGTTAACAGAAACCAAAATTACCACTCCAAATCCTACAAAACAGCATAAAAGTGACTTTCAGATTATACTGATACTCAGAATAAAATTTAAAGTAAGCACAAGTGTGCTTAAAGGTTTCAGCCTGAAATAAGTTTCCCAGCCTTCTCAATATTTGTCACACTGAACCTAAAATCCTAGGAAGCTACATGACATGCATCTGAGGTATTTGGGCTGACAGCCAGGTATTCCTGGACTGGGAATTTTAACAAAAAGTCTCTGTACAGAATGGACTTTGGGTAACAGTGACACTTTGTTTATATCATCACTCAATACAAATGTTTCATAAAATTTCCTGTAAGTCACTGGGATCCAATTAATATAAAGAGCAAAGTCGAGAGTACTACAACAGGTTTTACAACCATTTGATTTTTTCCCTGTAAAATTTTAAGACCTTTGTATTTCTTTTGGAGTTGCTGCCATAGGATTATGCAATAGCATAATACTAAAACCAAAGTAGGAAATTATATCAAGTACATGCACATACCTGTACCAACATGGTATTTCAGGTTTTCATTTTACCTAACATGTTTTAAATTTACTATGAGTAAATGACAACCCAGGCATCACAAGAATAACTTATTCATGTTTGCTTAGATTTTTATCCAGACCAAAAATGCTATGTTATTTTGCTCCAACAGCTCATTTCAAGTAACAAGCACAACTTTACTGCAAGATGAGATGACAAGATGCAGCAATAAAAAGCACTAATCCTAGTATGGAAACACATCAACCAAATTTCAGCAAAGTTAAACTTATTTCCATAGAAGTTAGGTAGATCAAAAACTAAGAAAGAACTTGTGAGAATGGACCATTGCTATCATGCCCAAAGTACATCCCACCAGCTTGCCTTAACATCCCGAACCTGCCTCCAGCAGAACAGTGGTCTGGCGACCACTGAGCCCTGAGCCATCACAAAGTGATTCAGGAACAATTCCATGCTCAGAAAAACAGAAGCAAGTTCCCATCCACTGAGAAGTTTCCAGAGTCAGCCCTGGCCATGCTGGTTGTTATGCAGTACACTGCTGGAATTACAAGTCAACATCTAAAGGCACAAGCTCTTAGAAATGAAAACAAAGTTGCTTGTGGCTGGAGTTCCAACTGCTTGTTCAGATGTGCATGGAGTATCTACCTCATTTTCCTTGGAGACAGTGGTTCTCCAAGTAAGAGGAGTTGACAGGAACTGAGTGCTACCTGTCCTGACCTTCCTCTTTTTCCATGGATGAGACACTCAGAGGTACTGGTACAGTCTCAGATTTTATGAAGGTCAAGTCTCCAGTCTTGGAAGAGTACATGCTTAAAGGACTGAATGCATATGGGACAGCGTACCTTAAAGAAATTGTGTAACTGACAAGTAATTTTCTGTTTAAAGGAAAACTGAAATTTGAAGGCTCAGTTGATTATGCGTGACACACATGCAAATCCACGCAAAACCTATTTTGACTCCTTTTTATAATCAGGTCAAGCAATCAACCTTTATCATTATTCAAAATTAACTGAATGATACAGTAGTAAGATGCAACTGAAAGAGCTGAAAGGTTGTGGTTTGGGTAATGTTCTTTACAACATGGGCTAATGAATCTGTGCTATTTCATTATTCACTGCATTGGAAAGAAAGAAAGAAAAATCCAGTAAGGAAAAGCACCAGAACTTAAGCCTCATCAGCAGTCACCAGCTCAAGAGGGCAAGTAAAAGCAGATATAACCAGATTATGAAAGTGACTGCATTACTCAGTCTTTGCTGAGAATCATGTGTTCCAGCGACCACAAAGAACCCTTTCTTATAGTTTAGCAGGAAATTTACAGCATTTTCTCTTCCATGAAGTAGTATGTTCCTCCATCAAGAAGTTCTTTCAAAACAGAGGTGATAAAAACACCACAACAGTCCTAGCTTTTTATTTCTGGATTTGTTGAGAATCACTGGACTGAGTTTTAGTGGGGAAAACCCGCCACTAAACAACCTGTACTGATTTTCAACATTTTCTCTCAGGAATAAGAGTGAAAGTTAAAAGAGCTATGCTCAAACAGAGCACAAAGGTGTGTAGTCTTCAAGATATGCACACTTCAGATATTGAAAACACTGAGCAGCATTTCAACAGTTGGAAAAAACCCACATAATTTACAGGAAAAAAACCTCTTTTCAATGCTGTCTTTGCACACAGCACTCAAAGTAGTATTTCTGATGATCAGCAAAGCAATTTCAAGTATGATATGAACATGTCACATCGTAGAAGTAAATAAATAATGTCATTAACAGGGACTGACAGGTCAAATCACTAACAGCAGTGTGGAGGCAGGGGACATCAACATATTTATATTCCTCTAAACACAAAAAATTCCAGCAGCTAAAAAATTCAAACACACAAAGCACACAGAGATTAACTGAATTACAGCAGTACAATCCTGCACGGAATAAGCTGTTCCTCCCAAGCAACTTAAATGTCTTCATATACCGGCAAATAAATTTTCATCTCTACATCAGTGATTCTTACAGTTGGTTGCAAAACCACACTAATTTACTAAAAGTCTATTCTGATTTTTAACATTCATATAAGAGACTTAACTAATGTTCCTGAAGATTAATTCAAAACACTTCTTTCAGCCAAATGAGCAAGAGCTCATTTATGGCCCTCTAGGACTCTCTTGAAGTGAAATGACAGCATACTCTTCAATGACTCAATTTTTCACAAGTTAACTTGAAAGGAACGTTATCTGATTTAGATAAAAACATCATTAAATCTACTTTATATGAAAATCAGAAAAATCCTATCCACCAAATCTTTATCAATATCACTAAACAGAGTAATTAGGTATTAACAAATCCATTTACAGGAAAATGAGGATAATTAATTTTAGCCAGTTTAGAATAATTGCAGCATAGCCTGACATACTGTGATAAATTTTGAGGAGTCTAAGTGTGTTTCAAAAGGTCTCTTCTGAGCAAAAATTGCCCACAAGCTTTTTTTTTTTTTTTTAAGAAAGGCAAATATTCTTTGGTTTGCATGTATGAACACATCAGTTGGTTAAGAGAGAAAAAGGAATTTCCAAATTACAGGAAAAGTACCTCAAAAAGGAACAGATTTTTTTTTTTTTTTTAAGTAGTCTGCTTTTTTTCTTTCCATCAAAGTTCAGGACAACATTTTGTCTTGTCAGGCAGATATCTAACTCATGGAGATTTCAGCTATATTCAGCCTTGGATACTGAGGTCAAATACTAGTCTAGTAAGACCACTGTCCTCCTCAGTGTGTCTCCAGATAATGACTGCCTATTATTGCAGCAATATCCATGGTCACCTGTTCCTTTTCCCCCTCTGGAAAAGGCAGAAGTGGAGCAGAAGTAAAAACCTTCCACATGAAGCTCTACCACCTTTACAGAACCTTTCATGGGCTTCGTATTCCTGTACTCTTTATTTGTCAACAAGATTGCTGCTTCTCCTGGAACAGGGCAAGCAGTCTTTCATCTCCAGTCTTCTACCCCCATGGAATTTTATTCTATTTAGACTGAGAGTGCCTTCCAAAGATCCCTCTGTGTCTCATTAAGAAAGGGAATTCCTCCTCTTGCTCAAGCTGTGATCCAACCACAACACAAAATCCTGTTTCCAATTAACAAATCTACTAAGATGGGAAAATCTTGGCTCAAACCCCAATCATATGGAAGATCCACACATCCTACAGTTTTCCTTGTACTGGAGTTATTTTCCCTTTTTATCCAGGCCCAATTATTTCACAGAAAGTCATTTACTCTGAATGAGGATGTGGGAGCTTCCTGTAGAACAACAGTGCTTGTAAATTCAGTGCACAGTTACATTCACCCTTCCCCTCAGAACATGCTGCCTCTGAGAGTGCATTAGAGTAACTAATAGGACAATCCCAGACACTGTGCTCTGTACCTACCTAAGCAGGCAAGCAGCACCTACCCTATCTTATGACTTACTATTTTCAAATCAGCTTAAAAAAAGCAACCTTTTGATCACTCAGCTTTAGTTCCCTTATTAACTTCCACAGCCTGAGTCATCTCTGGTGATGACACTGCTTGGGGTTTTCACAACAATAGCTCCAACATCAAAGCGGACTAAAAAGTCTTGGACCCACATATTGATTAGCCTTCCCATATAGGTAGCCTCTTTTAATAGATCAGATGAAAAATTACTTCTATCTTTGGCTGCAATCAACTCTTCATCCTGCCAGCCAGTCATGGTATCAGTAACAACATCTTGTGATATTTCTGTTGCTTGGAACATGGTTCCTCATGACTACAGTGTTTCTATACAATACTCTTCCTTTATGCTCAAGCCCCCAAGCTGCTTGGTAACAATACACAGCTCATCTATTTCCACTGAAACCCCTGCCTGTGGCTAAAAACTGCTATTACCAATATTGCTGTATATCCAAAACAATTTTCTTGACACTTCAGCCTTAATACACCACCATTCCTTTTCTTCTGTACACCATCCTCTCTGTCGATCCTTTTGTCATCACACAACAGCAATTTCACCCCTTCAGCCTATTCCCTTTGATAAAAACAAGTTTGAAGTACTGGCTGCTAGCATAATTTCTTACACATTTAACACCAATGGATACATCTATATACAACAGAAAAACTGGAAGGGGGAACATGAAAAGATGTGGTAAAAATCCAAAAGGCAATCTAGTCCAGTCATTTCATGAGACATCAGGAATTTTATTAAAGAAACACTGATTTTCCTCACTGAAGATAGCATTAAGTCACAGCCATAAAATTTAGCTCATTACAGCTACAGTTTGAATACTTTCAACAGTAAGCCACAAGCCACGACAAGTCTTGCATCCGCCAAAACCACAGTTGCAATCTGGATTCAAAATGCATTATTTGGTGTACACAAACCTAACCTGGCTCACCAACACCGGCTCCACACACATTTCTTCAGTGCCAGTGCTCACCACAGCTCCCACCAGCACCTCCCCAAAGCTCCTCCATTGTGTCAGTGAACACAGGTATTCTCTTCTGTGAGATTTTTTTCTTCCCCTTGTAGTTAGCTCCCTGCACCAGTTTACCAAATGGCACAAGGAACCCAGATGATACCACAGAGAAGGAAGAACAGCAAGAAAAGGTTACTTTGCTCCCCACAATCAAACACAACATTCAGTTTGATTAATACTCAGTAGACAGTCTTCAAAAAATAAACATTCCCAGTCCCCACGCACCTATTCCTGCAGCAGAGCTGTACCTCTTCATTGTAGCAGACATTTGGAAAGCCATGCAAGTCCTGACTGGACTGTGTTTGTTTTCAGTTGATCCTTTGGTGTAGCTGCTCCAGCCCAAGTACAGCACTGCCTCAATCTTCATTCAGCCAACTACCACCGCCAATAAAAACATCTTATTTTAAGTGGGCAGCTATAATACCACTTTTGCAATATGCTTTTCTTCTCTGGAGCTCCTAAAAAATTAACAGTAGGAAAAATCAGCTGCAAAGCAAGGGCAGTTCTAGCAGAAAAAGGCAATTTAGACAGCAGCAGCTACTGCTAGGATTCACCATGACAGTGCTCCCAGTATCCAGGTGGCTGATTGCTGCTTCTTTGGCCTGTACTTATTTTCCTCTGTATCTGTGCAGTTTACTCCGTCCTCAGTTAACAAAACTTCACATAGAAGCCATCACTACTAGAGAGGTCCATGGGAGCTGCTGCTTTTTTGAATGCTTGGACGATTTTAAATTTGCAGTGCCAGAATATATGCATCTAGCTATTACTCATATAGGAAAAAAAATACAAAGCTAAGCCTATGTGAATTTTAACTATATTCCCCTCAATGTAGTGAACTAGACCTCCGACAGGGAGAAGTTAACTGTGTTAGCAGGACTCACTGCCTGACAGCTCTTCACAGGTACACCAGGGTGATTTGATACTACCACTTAAGTCAAACTAACAGGGAATTGTACTTTTCCCTCACACTCCAGCCTGCCAAGGGGTTTTCTTGCTCCCCCTCACACTGCATACGAGATTATATGATCGCAAACCAAGTCATTCAAATGGCTGATCCATCACCCCACTGCTGGAGAGAGTGGCAGATAACAGACAGGAAGAGGGAACTCCAGCACGCTTGTCTGACAGGCAGCTAAAACTGGAACTGGATCTCACAGCTCTCAATAGCAGACTATTCCTATTAGACTGCCTCACAGCGCCACAGAACTATACCCTTGTAGCCATGCTTTCTGCTCTCTCTTCAAGTCACCCTGACCTGCCACCAGTGCTGACACTCACATCTTCCCCTTGTCTCCTAATACCCACAGTCACTCTCAAATCTATTCTGTTCGCTGCTGCAGGAGCCAATACAATATCAATTTGTAAAATTGATTGTACATGGTATTTATACAACAGTTGATTTATTTGAGACCGTGTAAACTGGTTATGCCCTGCTGCCTCCCTGAGCAAGGGTGAAATTCCTGGTCAAACCCACAGAACATTTTCCTTGTATTTAGAGGTTTTTAAGACAATCCCCCCCACAACTAACACAATGATCTTATACCTGTTCTTATAAATCAATTATATCTGTATATACTAAGATTTTAACAGTTACTTAAAAACTTACACATTTGAAAGATGTCCCCTTTGGTTGGACTCTTCTGCACGGTTAATTTAAATTCATTAACTTCAGCAGAAAACTTTAAGAGCCACACTGATACCACCAACTAACACTTGTAACACCTGATGCCAAGAAATTTTTCTATGCTGTATACTTCAAAGATTTCAGCCATTTTGAAGATAGCAGCAAAATACATTAATACTGCAATATTTTCCCTCAAAACCCTCAGAAGTTACACTAGTAACTTCAGTTTCAGTAGTTACCTTCATTAATACCTACATTTAGAGTCCATAAAAGTGTACCAAGAACTAAATGCTCACAAACTTTAAGGAATGTCCTGCCCAAAACTACAGGAATTCATTTCAGAAAATATATGTTCTCAATGATAAAAGAAATCAATTAAGGAAGGAAAGGCTTAGTCAGAAAACCAGACTAGTACTTAGCCTACAATTAAGTTGGAGCTTTGTTTACATTTTCCCCTTGGCAAGAAAAGGAAGTTATGTCTTCCACATTTCCTGCAACAAGCTCTCTCTGCACTTCCAAAGCATTTTTTTTGTTCTGTAACATGAATATGCAAGTTTTACAGAACAGTCAAAAGAGCATGACAAATGTTGACATAACGTTGTTTCTGAAAACAGAGGCACCAATCATGCACACATTTAATTTCATTAATTCAGCAACATCTACACATAACTCATGAACACAGACTTTTAAAGGCTTCAGAGTCAGAAAAGCTTATGGGGTGGTTTTTTGTTTAACTATTTGCTAAGGCAAATCTGCCCTTTGAGCAGACTGTTGACATGCCTTAATTCTTCCTTCTCTCCCCACAAGATCTGAAGCTTTTCAGATGTCCCAGAATACTAAAAAAAAAAAAGTAGATTTTTCAAAGAAATCAAACAAAACTTTTAGGAGGAAAGCAAAAGTCTGTTGCATTACACTAATTACAGGAGTCACTCCATTAAAGAAACCCATTGCTCCTAATGTAATTTTAGACCAAATTTTGTTCATCTTTCTCTCTCTCATGCACAACTGTCCTTGATACCACAATACTTTCACATTCAAAGAAAGGGCAAAATGCAGAAATTTTACCAGCCTGTGCTCTACTTCTCAAATCTCTTGATTCTTGCATTATTTGAAAAGTTCATGAATATATAGAAAATAAGACAACACTGCCACCAAAAAAAAAGGAAAGAAAAAAATCTCACTTCCCTCTCTACCTAGATGATCGTTCTCACTCAACTCTCCATTCATGTTCAATGAACAGAACAGTTTTTAGTTGTTTTTTTTTTTTTTGTTAATCAGTTTTCAGATTAACAGGAATAAAAGGTTCATTTCAATAAGGAAACACATTAATCTTGTATATGTGGAAAACAGGGCAAGTTCCTTTTCCTTCCAAACATAAAACAAGGCTGAAACTACAGAGCCACAAGATATTTAAATAAAAGCACCCTCATTACTGTTGAAGATTGCTAGTACCTAATACAACTGAGCTTTGATGCAGCTTACACTCAGTCACAAAATGTGGCATTTTCCAATTTAATTCTCCAGCAAAAATAAGTTGGTAGCTAAAAACAGAATGAGGGGAGAAGTGAAGGAGGAGAAAGGACAGTAGATGCCCAAAGGAGTGGTGGGGAAATACCTAGATTGGCACAAGTCTGTTAATCCAAAGGTGAAACTTGGAGCCAATAATTAACTCAGAAATTATGCAGTAACAAAATTACTTCAGATGTTCTCAGCAGAGAAACTCAAATGTCTTGAGAAACTTAGAACAAGACACAACAAATTTAATTTTAGTTGTAGTGGAAAAGCCCTGAGTAGTATGAACAGATATTTTAGAAAGTTTGTAATAAGACTGTACTTCTGATTAACATCATTTTCAGAAGACATGTAATTTAAGCTTTAAAGCCAACTTCAAGTAGTAATTGCCCCGGTTATAACATCAAAGACTGCAGTCAAATGCAGTTAAAGACAAGCAACTTGATGCAGTGCATAAATACTTATGAGAGTCACTTTACCAGAGGTTACCAGGTCTTCAGATTCATGCCTAGAACTACAAAATACATTTAGACAGGCTTTATACTGTAAGTTAACCTTACTGTGCTAGAAGAGTATTTTGGCATTTCAGGTCCAAAAACACATTTCCAGAAGTGCTTAATGGAAGACTAAACCCTACAGAGATTTTAATGACCAAGTAAGAAGCAGGAATTACTTTTCGACCTAAGTAACCTTTTAATGTATTTTAAAAAAAGGCTATATCAATTTATTCCCTCAAATATTATCTTTGGCAATACAAAAAAAAGTCCTCTAAAAACGAAAACAGTCAGCCAAGATGGGATTTGAGAATTTAAAGCAGTAAACACACATTCTTATCCAAAATTTAGATAAGCTAATCACTCATGAAAATAAACTGCAGAAAGATGGAGATACTTGATACATTGGGAGTGTGGGGGGGCTCACAAGGACACTGAGTAGCTCCTCACGCTGTCATACACATTCCTCTGTAGGCATTATGGTGCTTGCATCCAGCTCTCCAGTAACAACTGCTGCCTCTCAGTAGTGACACAGATTACTACTCCTCCTTCACTACCAAGGCCATCACTACACTGAGTAACACAAAGCTTCCCATCTCCAGCGTGCATTTTGTCAACTCACCATTCTTATACTTTGCTTGTCTCTGTGGTATAATAAAAAAATAATTTCAAAGACTTCCTGGAAGTACCTCATTATAGACTGGCAAAGGTATTTTCAACTTAAAATGACAGTATAAGCAACTTGATGTATTTCAGAGAGCAGCAGTCACTACTAGAATGACTGTAAAGAAATCCATGAACCTATTAACATTATCTTCTCTACCTGCATTCTAGACATTTTATATGCATTTCATTTCATCTCTCAAGATGTCTGAAATTGAGATGTCCAGTACAGGATGAACCAAGGTACAAGACTTTACTATCAGCCTGCAATATATTCACACACTTTGTTAGTCTAGGATTCGTCAGGGGTTTTTTAAATGGGTAATACAAAATTCCACTGTGTATATTCCTACGCTCCTCCCTTCTTCCAGATGAAATCTGGTCATTCAGTTAAGTATCACAAGCAGCTTCCAGCTTCAGAGGCTGTTAGCCATTTATGTATTTCAAGACATACATCTGGGTACATGAGAAAAACCTCTAAATGCCCCCACATGTAAAAAGAACTTCAGCACAACCTCATCTTATACACTGCAGAATTTAAGTGGATAAGTAGTATAATTATCACAGCAGCAGGAAGTTTTTAAAAAAGACATCTTCCTAGACTAAGTCAAAAAAATCACCAAATCCACAACAAACCCAGTTCTAACAAAGAACCACTTCTCCCCCATCTTTACATCAAGAATCATCATTTAAAAAAAGCTAAAGCAGAAGATCAAAAGAGATCAAAGAACAAGGGAGCACCAATCCACAAAATACTGTCTTGTTGCATTCTGATTGTATTTGTTATGTTAGAATGCTTTTAATTAGCTCTCAAGCAGCATTTCCAATATTGGGGTCAAGAGAAAAAAAGCATGAAAAGGAACTTTTGTCACTCATACCGATTATTTTTAAAGCACTTAAAATAACTTACCCATTTACAGAAGTGTTTTATATTCTTCATTGCAGTACAGAGATCTGGAGTAGCAGATGATAAGCAAAGCAGCACTTCAGTTTCTCACTAATGCAATGTGATCTACTTGGTCACTCAAAAAATACTTCAATTTTCATATAAATAGGTATAAAGTTTTACTCATGTTGGATGCCTTCACAAGACACTTCTTGCTCTTTGCATACAAAACCTTGATTAAAATCTCAGGGGCAGACTACAAGAACAATCTTCTATCACCCAAATTGCAGTTTAGAATACACAGGCAAGCACACAGAGATACATTTTGCAGCTCTACTGATCCCACAGAGCTTCTGCAAATTCTGGGTCACAAAAGAATAAGCCCAGCTAAAGAACCAAGCAGCAGCCACTTATTACATTACTGTTTACATCAACTCCTTTGAGTTTAGCCATTGTTACCATCAGCAGAATGGTAAAATGTCCTGATAGTTATCCTGAAACTAGGTTTTAACAGAACTTGGACAAGGTTTCCAAATTAAAGGAATCTTGCATATCATTAACCAGCTTGATCTCTCTCCAAAGCACTTCCCACTAGATAATGTCAAAGTTCAGAAGTGATGGAGAAAAAGAGATTAATCTTAAAAGCTATAAGTTGCCACAATTAAATAGTCCCGTAAGAAAGAGGAGAGAGTAGAAATAAAAAGGCTCTTTAACAATATGAGGCAAATAAACAATAAAGGCAATATGAGCCTTTAACAATATTGTTAAAGGCTCTTTAACAATAACTGCAGAACTAGAAAGATATTCTCTAACAGAGATTTAAAAAAATTAAATTCTACCCTTTACTATTTACTACAGTGGGTTGGAAACAGGGTATGATAGCACAGAAAAGCCGGGATGAATACAAAAGATACAGTCTTTTTAATACAGGAAGAACTGAACATACAATGATGTTTGAATGCCATAAAAAATATACAGTATGAATGATCACTTAATTAGGACAAAATTTGAGTACAAAGACCAAATAAGATTTAGAAAATTATCAGTCAGTTATACAGGTAATGGCTCACGCTTGAATGCCAAGTTTGAAAAACAGAGTAAAATCACTTAGAAGATACTTCTGAAACATAAAACTGATTTAAGAAGATGTTGCCCAAAACACTATACCTCCACTGAAAGCTTCTTCTTAATCAGTTTTGACTGCTGTTAATTTTTTTCTTGCATGCTTTAGCACTCGAACATCTAAATAACCAGTTTAAACCCAGTGATGATAGAAAATCCCCAACAGGCTGGACACGTCTGCAAGGCCGCCAGTAGTTAAAGCTCATATTCAGTAGTGTTTGGCGTAAGCTTGCACAACACCTGCACACAATAGAGCAAACAAATCAGATTTAAATTTAACTAAGTATATAGTTAGGCATGTACTTGAATCCAGCACATCAGGCAACACAGTTCCACCCCGATCCCCTTTACCTCCATGGCCTCACCTCTACACTGTGCAAACAGACTTTCCACAGCAATGTAATGACCCAGATGAAGGATCTGACATGAAGTTATTTTGTGCTTTAGCGGTTTATTTTTCATACAGATCAATTTCCTGAATGTTTCAGAGCAAAGCCATGTAAACAGCCCTACCAACACAGCTGAGGGAACAGTGCAGGAAGTAAGGAAAAGTAGCAGAGGACTGAAAGTGTTTAAACCAATTTCCCCACTAAACATCTATCAGGAACCTCATAGGCATCCTTATTATTGTGGGTTCCCCCTGCCAGTGGGATAGGGAACAGAAAGCAAAGAAAAAACAATGCAGTAAAACTCACGGGTTAAGATAAGTACAGTTTAATAATTGAAAGAACCCAAAATATAATAATCATAATATATAGTATTATAATAACAATCTCCTAGTGTCTATTCATTATATAGAAAGCATCATCACTGATGGTATCCTTCTTGGGAGACATGCAGGACAGACTAGATGGGTGTAAAATGCAAGGCTACAATCAAATGTGGCATCTGCAGCTCCTTCTTATAGTTCAGGCATACTAGTAAGCCAATATAGGAAAGAGCATTCTAAAAACCCTAGCTTCTATGCAAAGATTTAAGGATGCTGACAAGACTTTTCCTTCAAAGAACCTGGGAAATTAAACAAAGCAATAGCTAAATGACTCCCTGGAAAGTCACCTAACATATGTGAACTAGGATTCCTGGTCCCCACTGCATGTACAATAAAGCTGGGCATCAGGTTTCCAGAGTAGTGTGAAAAAATGGAAAAAGCCATTCATCTGGTAACAGAAATCAAAAGCCACCTAAATATGTTAAGAAAAAGCAAAGAAACAAAAAGAAATTTAGAGTTAATACTAAAACTTGTAGTTCTCTATCAAGATTTGCTGTAATTCTCATCAGTGTTATTAGGAATATAGTTATTTCTTCTGAAGTGCAATCTCACAGTTTCCCTACAGATCTATTTATTGATTAATGCGAACTACATGCAGTCCATCAGTATGTCCATAGGATGTTTTCATTCATCTGACTGTTTGGCTCTGAAAGGCAGCCACAACTACCTTGGTCACCAAAGTGTACCCAAGACATCAGAAAAAACTCCCCTTTTCTTGCATGTGGTTTGATATATCACAAGTAAACAAGCATGAGGGTGGCAGAGGAGCAAGCAGGGTTAGTATCCCACCTCCTCACATGGCCATGTGCAGGACCCCAAGACACACATCACCAATGCAGCTTACTAACAGGACAGAAGAAGACATTGTCCCTAAAATTCATCCCCAATAAACCTTGAGATTAATTGTCATCAGTGACAATTAATCTGTAAACCTGACACTATGTATGCAGCAACTTGAAAGGCTGCTTTCAAAATGAAGACTCGGTATTTTGTTGTTAATTCATCAAGCTCTGGCAGTTTCACTGAATTAAATTTAAAAAGCTGGCTGCAAAGGCAGCACATTCTACTCTAATTTAACAGTGAGCAACATAGCTTCACAACACAAAGTTTGGGGCTTCTCAAATAAGCTTGAAAATTAAGAGGGGAAAAAAAATTAAAAATCCCTCCCTATGACAAATCCATGCAAGTCTTCCAGGAGAGCTTATAAAAGTAATTCTATTCCTTCACGTATGAGTCTTTGCAAATCACTTCATGCCAGCTATAAGCACTACACCACCACTGTATCTATGACTCAGCAAGGGAATCTGGACATATGAAGAGAATTTACCTACTAATATAAGAGGTAAGGATTTTTTAAATGGCAACAATTGCAACAATGCCACAGTAAATGACCCAAGACAACTTCTAGTTTGTATGCTTAAACATACAAGGAGCACGGCCAGATTAGAATGTCAAACCCATTTATATATTGGCTAAAGTTTGAAAGCAAGTCAAACAATGCTTAGTGCAGCTGAGCTGAAATACAAAGGATTCAACAGCTGTTTTCACCTCCAGTGAATAAAAACAAGCACTGGCCATACATCTGACATAAAACACAGCTCCCTTTCCAAGATTACCTGCATGCAGACCAACTATGCAAGTCTAACTTCAGAGCTGAATACAAACCAGTGAGCAATTGGCAGCTTTGTGTTGTAACTTAAGATACAAGCTTGATTTACTGTGACATTCATCACATGTTTACACATAAGCACGAACAGACAGTACTGTTTACACGACACTAATTGACGCAGCAAAGTAGCAAGTTCTTAAATTGCTCAATAATGCTTTGGTCCATCAACTGAGACTAGTTATCTAGTCGACAAATTATTCCAAAAAGGGAGAAAACATCACAACCCATACCTTCTCAATACATTATGTTCACACAGATATTCCACATAATAAGCACTCAGACCTTGCCTTATAAACGTCACGGTCCACGGAATCTGTACATTACCAACAGCCTTCTGTTCCACATCCTCATAAATAACATCTACAGAATTATTTTTGTTACACTGGTAGCAGACTCTTAGTCAACAAGGGGCGGAGGAAAAAGTATTCATTGAATTTTTAAGCAAAAGGTTCAAATGGAGAAAGATCTAAGAAGAAATTCCACTCCCTGCACCACCCAGTGTGAAGAAGGATAATAACACAGAACTAGGATGAGGTATTTGAAACAATAAAAGAGAAGCTTAGAAAACTCATCCTCTTCCCTGAGATCGTTCAGAAAAAGAGGGTAAAGCTTTACGTCCTCAAGCTTTTCAGTATCTCAACATGAGTTACGAGGTTTAAACATTTTTTATTTCAGCTTCTGTTTTTATTTTCTCTATTTCTAAATGAAAACAGAGCATGCAGTATGTGGCAAAACCTGAGGTGATGACATCCCAATGGTATATGTGCCAAACACTTTAAATTTTTTATTATATTACACTGGTTTGAAGCAAAGCCTCAAGCGATGCTACAGTGCCTAAGGTAAATCCTCACACAAACTATCATTGCATCAACACGTATTTTATTATCCTGCTATCGTATTTTCTGGCAGTACTCGACATGTGTGTCATCTTTCACCCAACGGTCTCATACGGGATGGCGGGGAAGAGCAAGTAGAAACACGAACCAACAGAACAGCACTTATCCCACTGGAAGCAGGAATATTCCAGAGGCACGAGCTAACACATCACCTACAAAGCTCTCCAAGTTTCTCCAGGAACACCGCGGTAACACCTGTGCAGAGGGGAGCGGGACAAAACCCCACAAATCCCGGGGCAGCGGCAATCTCCGGGCCAGGGGCACGGGTCGGTCTGGCCGGCACCGGCGGGAGCCCCGCAGCCGCGGCGGGCGAGCGCGGCCACGCTCTCACCGGCCCGACACGGGCGGAGCTCCGCGGCTGCGGGAGCACGAGCCCCGCACCAGCTCCTGCGGGAGACGGCTTCGAGCAGCTCTGCAGCTCCGCGGGGAGTGCGCCGGGGCGGAAGGGAGGGAAGGAGGGAGAGAAGAGAGCGAAAGGGCTGCGAGGCAGGACCCGACAGCTCGGACAGGCACAGCCGAGGCCGCTGCCGCCGCTCCGGACCGCGGACCCTGCGGGCCGGGAGCGGCACGGGGAGCAAGGCTCCTCCCGCGGCGGGGCCCCGCGGGCCCGCGGAGCTGCGGGTTGGCAGCGGCGCAGCGGGACAAGCCGCCCGCAGCCGGCCCGGCGGGGCGCGCACGGAGTCCCGCCGTGGGGGCGTCGACGGTCTTGCCCCCTCCCCTCCGCCGTCGTGACACCAAGCCCACGATCCCCTCCCAGCCCGGCTTCCCGCGGTGCCTCACCTCCGGCAGCCGCTCGCCGCCGCCATCCTCCCGCTCAGCGCCGCCCGCTCCCGCCCGGCCCCGCTCCGGCCGCCGCCATTTTGCTCCCGAGCCCCAGGCTCGGCCGGGCAGCGGGAGCGCGCACGGCGCCTGCGCGGCGGCGGCGCTGCGGCGCGCGAGCCACGTGGTCCGGGAGGCCGGGCCGGGGCTGAGGGGGCGGCGCTGCCAGGTCCCGGCGGGTCCCGGCGGGGCTTGGTGCTTTTCCCCACACAGCTGGACTGGGATCGTGGGGAAAAGCCGAGCCCGGTATGTGTGCCCCTGTCGCGACCCCCGTTCCAAGCCGCGTGCACTGCCTGCTCTGTGTGACACATCTGCCAAGCTTGTTTCCATGCCCAGGTGCGGGGGTGCCTGCAGTGTAAGTGGTGTGTCAGCACGTGTTCTTTGTCCTTGAGGCTAACGTAAGCTGCTTATATTAAGCCTATGTCTGTCTCCTTGCTTTGCTAAACTGCCGTGAGCTTGTTAGAGGCAGGGCACTGTCCGATTCCAGTTTTATTGTTCATATACTGAACAATATATACTGCTCGCCTGGAAATAAACTCCCACAACCTTTCCAACTTCTGATAACCCCTCTCAGCATGAGAAATTAGTATTTCACTGGTCTAGGTGAAAGTCGGTGCCAGCAGTAGAAATGCTTCTAGCTGTTCCCATCATTGCTGGTACCATGCCAGATACATTTTCTTCAAAGAAAGGTGTATGTTGATACAGTCAGGATCAGCAGGTGTCTGCCGCCATGTCTGTAAGATCACTGTTTTCTAAATCGGTGAGAGTGACCAAAAATACGTGTCAGCATTTTATTAGAACAATAAAGACTCTTAAGTGAGCTGAACAGCTTGTGCCCCCCTAAAGGAACGAAGAACCACGTGTAAATATGTGAGAAGGTCTGAGAAAAGTTCCATCCGTGGGCCAAAAATCTGATCAAATCACATGCTAGAAAATATTCAGCAAGCTGAAAGCCACATCTATGATTATTCCTGGTTGGTAAAAGCAACCTATGACTGATTATATCCCCTCCTGATTCTGCTGACAGTCCATTTCTGGAGGGAAGCCTTCCACTTGGCATCCTGCTGTCCTCCATCTCTGTAATTAACTTGCCTGAATGCTGCAGACCTCCCTAACTACCACTTGGCACAGCATCCCATAGTGCTCAGCAGCTTACCAAGGAGTTAGGGGTAAAACAACCTCTAATATATTTGCCTATGCTATAGACTGTTTTCATACTGTTTCAGCCTAAAATCAGAGGAGAAATACAGTTGTGTTTATAGACAGCATTACGTATTCCCTGGGGCTTTAACCATCTTAGTTATTTATATGTTCTCTGATATTGTGGTATATGAGAGCATCACAACCTTTGACTTCCATATCTGCGCAGTACCAGAGATGAGGGAATTCTTACCATTGGAATTTAGTCGGTGAAGTTCATGCTGTCAGGGGTATGCTTGTATCTGTTCAAGGGGGTCTATTTCTTGTAAATGGGATGTCTTTGCAAGCTGTTGTTGCTGTTGTTGCTGTTGTCATGAGAGCTCATAAAACTGACTGGCAGGCAGAGCTCAGCCTCTGAGCTATTGTCTGCTAGAGCCTTCCCACCTTCTGTTTCTGTCTCTTTTTTTGCTCCTGCCCTAAGCCTGCTTTCCATTTCCTGCTGTTAGGAACCCTGACATGGAATACCATATACACAGTGTTCACCTCAGTTTTATTTTACCCTGTTTTTCTGTAGAATTGTATTATATATGTTCATATTGCTTGCCTGGACATATAAGGATTTAGGTCTATGACCTCTGTGCTGAAATATTTTTAACTCATTGATCCATTTCTCATTTGGGTCCTTATGCATGCTGCAACTTCAGGAAAGGCAGAGGCACCAAAGTCAAGCAACCAACAGACAGAAATGTTTGAAAATAAAACTGCAGTAGTTTTAAAACACATAGAACTGTTAATTTAAATGTATCTGTTAGGAGAAATTGTTTCAGACAAGGTTCTTAAATATGAACAGTGTGAGACAACCCCAGCGTCTCTATGTCATTCATGATTTACAATATCATTGTTACAATTATAGCAGTGGCTTGCTGAGAGCACAGTAGAAGTAAGAATGAGTTGAAGTTAAATAAGTAAAGTTCAGGTCACAGAGCTCTTAGACTGAAGGGAAATAGTACACCAGCTTGGTTTTCAGCTGAGAGGAACCAGTTATGAGTTTGGTCCCAAAGTTCTGTTGTTAGGTGAAAAAGACCAGTCAATTCTCCAGCAAAGCTGGCTCATAATCTTCCAGGTAATGAAAGTGAGAAAGGAAAAGAAGTCTTGCAGGCTGAATATTTGTTTTGTTAGTGGTCCTCTTTAGTATTCTAATATAATTAACTAGAATGTAGTCAAAATGGATGGTTAGATTAAAGTACAAAGATCTTGCTCCTGCAATAGTCATCCTTCTAGAAACTAAAATAAACCTTCTTATGACTCAGAGACAAACAGTGTGTTGGGTAACAACTTAGGGGAGACATCTGGCAGGTTGGAAGTGAGGATGGCTACTGTGTGCTTTCTTTTACTTTGGACTTTAAAGCACAGAGGTGACCCCTTGACTGCAGCACACTGACATTGTCTTTGAGAATTGTGTGGTCTCATGGACCAGACAGCTGGGAAGCACACCAAAGTAAGCTGACTAACTCCTTCTGCCACCTGGGATCTTGGTGCAGAAGACAGTGTTATAAAACACTGAGTTACAAACCTTGCTGTGGAGGAGTGGGAAATGGAAGCTAATTGCATTTACATGCAGGTAATGTGTTTTCTGAGATGAGAGGATAGGAGATTCACACTGTCTGACAAACACCCCCAGAGCATGTGCACTCGCATCACTTCCCTGATGATTTAATTATAATCCTCACTCCACGTTCTGAGAAAGAAATTGATCTTCCATTTTTATCAGGATTTAGATATGTTTGGTTTGATCAATTTAAAATAATCCCTTGATGTCCCAATGAGTAAAATCTTATATATGCCTTAAATATCGTAAAATGTCATCTCCTCTTTAGAACAAAGGGAAGAGTGAGAATCTATCAGCTGCACAACAGTTCTCAGTACCTCTGCTGATACAGAATGATTCATGTTTTTGCAGGGACTTCTATAAAATACTTACTGATATAATCACTGTACATACACATTGCATTTTATCTTCAAACTCAAGAGTCTTAGGAAAAATTGAGTATGTGCCACGATATACTAAAAATAAAACCAACTCCAATGTCTACTGTAGTTCACTTACCCTTCATTTGCGCTAGGAAGATCAAGCTTTGAAATGCCCTTTGGATGATATTTATCAGAGTTTATTGAAGAGAAAATACTCTTGAAAAAAAACCCCAACCAGTTCACTTCCATTGCGTCATTTTTTTTTTGTCTGTGATTAATTTCTTAGACTTTTAGATGTTTCATTTGGTTTTCATTCCAAATGTGTACTGTTTGTGATTATTAGTAACATATTTGTTGGTGTGTTGTGTGGAGTCTGTAATCAACCCCAGGGTCCCTCTGTGCTGGATGGTCTGCCAAACAAAGATTACAGTAGATGGTCTAGAGAATTTTAACTGGAAGATATGATCATGGAGGGTACCTCCTGCAAACCAGCGAGAAGACCAAATGTGTGTAGTTTTCAGTGATAGCTGGGTCACACCACATGTTGCCATAGGTACCTCCAGGAGCCATGCCTACTACAGAAATAATGTCAGTTGCATTAGTTAGAAAATATGGTTCTGTTCTTGTAAATAACAGTTTCATTCATGACCATTTCAAGTGTGACTTTCTACCATTAAAGACAAAAATCCTTAAAGTCCAGTTTGTCCTGATTTTTATTTTTTTTATTAGTGTATTTCAGTTCAAGTTTACAGCACTCTGAGAAGGATATAATGGCTAAAGAAAAGCTCAGAATATTTAAAATATTATGTTTATTGGTAACTGATCCGCAATAACTGAATGCTCAAAGGCTGTAAAATAGATTGAAGACTGAAGCTTATTTTTCTAAACAGGCTTCATTTTTATCAGTGGTATTGAGGAATGTAGATCTGGACCATAACTAGCTTTTAAATCGTATTCTTTGTCTGTTGTCTTTCTTACTATCTGAGCTTTTCTCGCTACCTAAACCTACTTTAAAATTTTGTAGACGGTTATTTGCCATACTCATATACACATTGCTCATTATACATCAGCTGGGAGACCCTCAAAGAACAGACTGCAGTTGACATGCAAGCCACAGTAATTGATTTTGTGTAACCAGTGATGGCAGAGCAAGACCTCTGCTTCCTTGTGTGAAATAGGTGTTGTGGAAGCACAGCAGTGACAGAAATGCTCTTTCTGCCCTGGTTTTGCTTGTTCCTTCAACCACCAGATCTTCACACAGAGAGAAAAGAGCTCTATGTTCTGGCAAGAGAGCTGAGGAGGGTAAAGGATTTTGTTTGCTGCAAGCAGAAGAGAAGGAGGCTGCCCAGGGACATCTGTGATGGGGGCTGCCATGTAACTGGGATCTGCTGTGAGATCTCTGCCTCTTCTGTGATGAAGAGAATTCCCTCTCAGTGTGTGCAGGGGAAAGCTGAAGGGCACAGAGCCACTGTGCTCTTCTGGGGAGTTTGGTGAATTGAATGAAGTGAGATAGTTGTATCCAGTAGGAAAATAGTGCAAACTATTATTGTGAAGATGCTAAACAGGCCCTGGCCCAAGCACATGGTACAAAAGACATGTACATCAGGGGCCTTTGAAGAAGCACAAGGGAAAGAAGGAGCATCAGATTCCAAGGCAAATGGGGAGGTCTGGAGATAAGTGCCTGTCTGGGGAACAATCCAGCACCTTAAGAAATGAAGACAAAGTTGGTGGTGATTTATGCCAGGAGGTTAAACCTTACAGAATTAATGGCCTTTGAAGTCTGTGGGCTGACAATGCTGGGCAGCCCATGATCATTACATTTAGACAAACCTACATTGGGAGGTTTAATCAAGATCTCAAATTGAAGCACACAAAATTAATTGGCTTGCTTGT